TTCTAATTTATCCGTATTTTGGATTTTCATTTAAAGTTCCATGTTTTATACTATGACTATATCTAGATGTTACCAAGCATAATTACAATAAAAAAGTGTATGTACCAGAGTCATGTATCTTATTATTCAATTAAATCCAACATAGAAACTTAAAATGATACAAGCTTACGCACCAACTACGAGACACTCAGATGGCGAAGTTGATCAATTTTATGAAGATATCAGAGCAGCTATACAATGTTAAAAACCCATTATACATTGAAGATTTCACCGCCAAATTGGGAGTCAAACAATATGAGGCAGAATATGCTATGGGAAACTTTTTATTTTCCATGGGGAGATTTTTTTTTGTAATGAACTCATTCTTCAGAAAAAAAAAACACAATGTAAATAGACATGGAAGAGTCCAAATCAACGAACAAAAAATAAGATTGATTTTATAATATTAAATCGGAAAGATATAGTTCAGGATGTAACTGTAATATAAGAGGAAGAAAGACAGCTGAACCAAGGGCAAAGGAAAGGAACCAAGTGAAAGATGCTGAGAGTTGAAGCTAGAAAAGTGGGTCACACTGTATGAGTTAGAATGCGTGAGTCAGACTGTGGGGAAGGAGGAAATGCCCTCTGGGAATGATGCCGTATTAGGAGCGATGAGGGTCTTCTACGCGCTATCTGTAACGAGACAGGGAGCCTCCTTGCTGATGAATGGAGTGTGGAGGTGAATGAATAGAGAATGAATGAATAAAGCTAGTACTTCGGAAGTGATGCCGGCCTTACAGCGACCATTCCGCTTCCGCATTGCTGGATGACAGAGGAGGGTCTGGCTTAGCAGGTAGACGTTCGGCGTAGACTCGAAGAGAGGGCATTTTAAAGTACCTCGGGAACTATCGCCGGGAGTACGAAGAACGAATCCTGCACTAAGGTCAGTCAGTCCTGGACTGAGATGTCTTTTGAAGATAGACCCCCTCTATAAAGACGAAGTTCAGGATGTAACAATTTTGAATAAATTTTCAGCAGGGAGTGACCATATATTAATATAATAATTAGAGCAAAAACAACTTTTAACATTAATGTCGAAATATCAAAAGTGATCCAAAAGTCAGAAAGAAGAGTGGAAGATAGGTATTGTTAAAAAAAGTAACACTTTATGAAGAGAACATTAAGAATAGTTTGGCTACACATGACTTGAGAATATCAGCATCAATGAAATGAACAATAATATTATTGAAGCATTGAAATAAGTTAAAAAAAATACTGTCTGTCTTTGTGAAAACAAAAACAAAAATTAAGCCAAAGCACAAAAAATCTTCTAGAGGAACAAAAATGAACTAAGAATCTTGAATAAGAAAATTAGAAATGCGGTTAGAAATAATCTGAGACAATACAATATGATGAAAATAACTAGAGTAATAGCAGTAAACAAAAGCTTGAAAATACTAGGAATATGTCCATTGGAAGAAAAAACAATCACAAATTATGAAATGAACTGAATCAAATCAAGAAAATTGAGGATCCAGATCAAGTTATTACCACTATGAAGAGTTTTTATAGCCAACTATACAAAGAACAGCAGTTCTGGAATCCAGTATCTGGAATGGATCTTTATCAAAGATAATTAATCAGGGATCTGAAATTTTTCCGGACATAACAGCCAATGAAGTTCGAAGGTCAGTGCAAGAAATGAAAAACAATATGTCCCCTGGAGGTGATGAAATAGTGGCAGATGCCTTGAAAGTAGCTGGAAAAGGAATATGACAGGTCCTTGCTAAACTATTCACTAGATGTCTACAGGTAGCAGTATCACCAACTGAGAAATTATCCGACCTCAGAAACTACAGGCCTATAAGTCTACTTTCCCATATTTATATGCTATTTACAAAAATAATCACGAAACAATTAGAAAATAAATTGGAATTTTGTCAGCCTACAGAACAAACGGGTTTTAGAAATGGCTACGGAACAAACGATCACCTACTGGTAATAACACATCTCATAGTAAAATATAATAAACCACTAACTTTGATATTTGTGGATTATGAAAAGGCCTTTGACACCATAAATCAACAAAAAATGTTCGAAGCCTTGACAGAATGCCGAATTGACTATCGGTATATAAATATATTTAAACAAATATACCAAAGCGCAACAGCTAGTGTTAGTGGGTGATCGTCAAACTCGGAAATTCCCTATACAACGTGGAGTACGTCAGGGGGACACTATATCACCGAAACTATTCCCTGAGCTTTTGAAATATATATGAAAAAGAGTAAAACTGACCGACAAGGACATAAATATCAATGGAGAAACGCTTAGCCACCTGAGGTTTGCAGATGATACTATGCTAAAAGCTAATAGGATACATGAGGTCAAAGAACTTTTAAATCAGCTCTACCTTTCCTCGCTAGAAGGGGGATAGAAAATAAATACATCTAAAACAAAGATGACAAATCTTATAGTCAGCAAAGATATATGCGTAAAAACAAGTTCTATTGACCAGGTAATGGCCTATAAATACCTAGGTCACGAGATTCACAGAGAAAAAGATAACCAAACAGTTGAGCTTCTCCGTCGTATAAGACTGACTTAAGTAGCCTTGATCAAGTTATACCAAACGTTACACCAAAAGTTATACGTTATACCAAATCGTGCGACATACCAATATGTCGTAACATTAAAACCTTTAATGTCTTTTACCAGTGTTGACTTACGGGGTAGAAACGTTGACTGTGACAAGGAGAACAGTGAGAGGTCCGTGTGGCTCAAAGAGTGATAGAGCGTGCTATCTTGAGCGTTTCAATACGAGACAAGATCCCAAACCGCCAGCTACGACGAAGATTAGGAGTGGCTGATGCTGTATAGAGAATAGCAAAACTGAAGTGGAACCTAGCAGGTCACGTGGCTCAAATGATGGATAGCAGATGGACAAAGCGAATAATGGAGTTGATACCAAGGGATAATGCCTACCGAAGCAGAAGTCGTCCACCGATCGATCTAAGGCGTTGTTATAAGAATTGGATACAAGAGGCACATAATCAAACCAGATGGAAGATTATGAGGAGATCTATGTCCAGCAGTGGACAAGCGAAGATTAAATAATAATTTTTAGATGTGTGACTTAAAAAAAAATGCACAAATTCTGCGGGTCCCATAACAATTGTTTCTGGTCTTTTAATCTTATCTAAGTTATTAAGATAATTGAACAACATTACATTTTGGTTGGTTATTCTGTCATTCACATATAGGTATCTTGCATTTAGGTCTCTCATTATGATTGATGGTACCTCGATATTTAAGTTGTCATCTAGATCTGACCCTGTCCAACTTACGTTCGCTCCAGCTTAATTGCAACGATTATCTCAACCAATTCTGTTTAAATGAGTGGTTTAAAACCTGCACGTCGAAAACACATCAAAAATGATCTTTGTTGTATCTATGATAATTATCTATGTTATCAAAGCACATGATAAATTCTTTCGAGGAATGTGGTGAGCGTTAAATAAAAAACATATTGTAGAAAGATAATTGACAATTGCCTATATAAAGGGTAGACTACCAAATTCTATTTCGTCTTCTTTTTCTTGTTTAAATTATCGCACCATCTTTTTCTTGGTCTGCCAATACTTCTTCGTCCATTTGGTGACTTATCTCATGTTATTCGTACTACCCTATTCTCTGCCATTTTACTAATGTGTTTGTTCCACTCCTGTTTCTGGTTTTTCACCCATCCATTTATGTCTTCTATACTGAATGCTCTTCTTATGTTTTCGCTTCTCTCCCTATCCAACACACTTTTCGCTAATATTCATAGGAGTATTTTCATCTCAGTTGTTTCTAATTGTGTAGTTTTAGATGTGTCAGGTCTTGTCTTCGCCGTGTATGTTATTATAGGTCTGATGACTGCTTAATAGATTCTTGTTTTTGTATCTTGTCTTAGGTGTTTGTTGTTTCAAATTGTGTTATGAAGAGATTCCGCTGCTTTACTTGCTTTTAAGCTTTGTTGTCGTACCTCTTCTTTAACATCTCCCTAACTAGTTATATCTATTCCCAGATATGTAAACCTTCCTTCCTGCTTTATTATTTTCCCATCAATTTCAATTTTAGATCGTAGTGGGTATTTAGATGTTGTCATACATTCGGTTTTTTCTGCTGATATTATCATATTGTATTTCTTAGCTGTTGTATTGAAGATATGTGTTAATGTTTGGAGTTCGTCTTACAAATACGGCGTCTACGCAGGATCTTTCGGATCTCAATCCTTGTTGTTCATCTGATAAAGTTGTTAGTTTATTGATTTTGTTGGTTAGGACTTTTGTGGTAAGCTTAAGTGCGGTGTTCAGTAGATTTATAACTCTATAATTGTTGGGGTCAATACAACTTGGCTGTTGTATTGAAGATATGTAATCTTTGGAGCTCGTCTTCTGTCTAGGCGATTTATGCACTGAATTAACATTAGAACATTAGAACATTATTGTTTAATAATACCATGATAGAGCTCTAAGAAGATATTCACGAGAGATTGTTGTAATATTTAAGTATGTGTAAATTTAATGGTAACTTTTATATTGGAGCATTACGAAATCAACAATGATGTATTCGTATGACTGTGTTCAAATTTAATGTAGTTTGTTTTGAATTTAAAACTTTAATGATATTTGTTATGCCAAATTGTGAATTCCCAATTCAGAGGTGTTTATAATACTGTTCGGATAAAAAATTTCAATTTTGTAAAAATTTTTGAAAAAAAAATAGCAGGATGGAGAATAAAATCACATATATGCTGATGATGAAAGGCCTGATGTTATTTGATCTTAATTATTTTAAAAATGATAAAAAATAGAATAAAATTTAATATTTTTATTTGGACATTCACATTTAGCATGGAGCTATTGGTAACTTCGTTACCGATTAAAACATAAAGCCGTACACTTTTTAGGATCACAATGGATTCTACAAATGGTGCATCCTCTAGCAGAGGGTCGCTGAGCGTTCGTTTTACACACAGGTTTTGGTGCACATTCTTGTACTTCAGCACACCACAATCCACAGGGATGTCCGTTGTGTTGCGGACACATTTTCACTACACACGGTTTAAAACCAGTCGGGCAGCCTTTATCTGTACAACAGTTTTCGTTTCTGTGTATTCGAGGGACGTAAGGACTCTTTCCGTCGACGGTTACACCGTATTTACACTTTACACTTGCTCTTGGGTCTGGAGCTGGAGGACCATTGCATTTCAGCGCTTCTGTCCTCCAGTCGATGTTGTAGTTGTTGTAGAAATTGGCAAATCGGTACAGAAATTGTTCTTCATCTGTCATACGATTCTAAAAAACAGAAAAGCTCTTTTAATGGTAATAGTCACTATTGATAGGTTAGAAGCATTTCGACCATTTCGTCCTTATTTTGTAGACAAAATAACAGTTTAAAAAGTGAGCTCTGTTCAGAGAAGTTTTACGAGTAATTGACTATTTTCTCCTTATGTTTACTGTTTTCTTTCTTATACATTAGTCCCTAACCAATTTCAAAAGTATTCTATTCAGTAATACAATATGTAATACTTTATTTGGATTAATTCTTATTTAGTACTTTGTTGAGGTTTTTTAAAACAATATATAGCGTAACCAGAAACTCTCCTGACATTTAATGACTGAAGATTCCTGAGATAATTTGATCCAATTTACCTAATTAAAAAAAAAATAGAGCCAGAGCTGTTTTAAGATGGCGCCTTGTAATAAGTTTACCTCTATGGTTGAATCGGTTAAGTTTACCGAAAGTACAAGCTAAATATAGCCGGATATGTCAAAAATATTTGGGTTTGGCAGTGTTGGGACATTTGTATAATGCATATATTATATGCTTCAATTCTAAAGAGGGAAAGTTTTTGAAAAGTACATTTTGATTATACTATTTTATGAATTTTGCAATTTTTAATTTATATGAAGCAATAACGAGTAAATATTTGTCTATTTCGAGATTAATTGAAAATATCTGTTGAAATCTGACAGCTGTTGATTTGATGATTGCCAAATCTATCCAGTAATTTATCAAAGGGTAATTGCCAAAATAATTTCTAATAATTAACTGCAATAATTCTCCAAAGAAACAAAATATATATACTCAATCTTGTTTTATATAAATCAAAAATTTCAGAATTTTTAACATAATATAAACAAAATATACTTTTCTAAAGCTTTATCTTTTTATATTTGAAGCATACAGAATCTAGATTATAAAAACATGCCAACACTGCTACACCGAAATTTTTTGTTCCATGTTTGACATTTGCGGCTATAATCAGCTTGTATTTTCGATAACCTCAACCGTTGAATCGATTTCATCAATTGCGAATTTCTAGTACCGGTCATATTATGCGTCCGTTTTGGGTAGGTCAAGGGTTATTTTAACGCATAGCTTGTTTATCTTTAACTTTTAAGCATTTACTTTTATTTCCAGTCAGTAGGATACACCGTTTTCTAGAAAAATCGATTTAAAATTTTTTAGTCTTTTCGTCAAGAAAGTTTATCAAATTGTTGTCAGTTCTCGAAGTTTATCTTTTAGTCTTTTACGTTGTGGCATTCAAACACAACAATTTCAATTCAACAAAAATGGTATTTACTAATGAGGAATACGCTGATACAGCAGCACATGAAGATGTTACTTTAATGAAGTTGAGGAAAATGCAGAAATTAGGGTTCGAAGACTATCTGCCATGTATCCCACAATTTCAAAATATTCCGTAGGAAATATCTTACACAGCGGAAATTTATATTCTTTTCATTTAAAAAAGAAACAAGCACTACAAGGAGATTTTCCTACTCGTGAAGGATTCGCTAGATGATTACAAAATCAAAAAAATTAAAATAAAGATTTTTTCAGATAAATTTCAAACAAAATGAAATTTTTAATGTACACAATGTACATTATTATTCGTATGTTGGTTACAATCCCCACATTGGTTGTTCACGAATTTATGAATCGACATAGGTTTAGCATAAGCCTCTGGATAGTTGTATTTTTGACGATTATCTACTTCAGGGGTGGCCAACTTAATCGGACTCGAGATCTACTGTCTGCATTTTTAATTCTTTACGGTCTACCGACTAGGAATTTTTCACCGATACTGTCGAGCAATAAAACTTTTAATCCAGAATTTTAATGTTAAAAGTAAGCTGAATATCTCACTAAGTCGCTCACTATATCTCAGAAAATCAATCACTGATTATCTTCTAATTCTTCTTTTAATATAGACATGACTCTGTCTGTTTTTCAATGTGCCTCCAGTAAGTTATCGTTCCATCGTTTTCGTGGTCTTTCTATTGATCGTCTTAATATTGGGAAACCGTATCTTCCCGTCTTTACTACTCTATTTGTTGTCATTCGGCTTATATGATCGTTCTATCCTACTGTTCTATTTCTTACCCAGTTCTTGATGTTTTCCATCTTGCACCTATGTCGTATATCTGTACTTCTAGCTCTGTCCCATAGTGTCTTGTCATCAATTTTTCAAGTGTTTTCATCTCTGCTCTTTCTAACATCCTTTTTTTCCTCGCTGTGTCAGGTTGTGTTTCTGCCGCGTATGTCATTATTGGTCTGATGACTGTTTTGTAAATTCTGCCTTCCATTTCTTTCCCGATATTTTTTTTTCTCCATATTGTTTCATTCAGGCAGCATTCGGCTATATTTGTTTCATTCACTTGATCTTCCACTTCAGTTTTAAGCTTTCCGTAACTAGATAATGTGATATAAAGCCTATATATTTAAACTCCACCACTTGTTCTCTTATCTGACCTTTCAGCTCCAATTTACATCTCAGTAAATTTGCTGTTGTAACCATGCATTTTGTCTTTTTTGGGGAAATTAACATGTTAAATTTTTTTTAGCGGTTATATTAAATTAGTGCAGCATACGTTGTAATTCGTCTTCACTTTGAGAGAGTTGCATTGCGTCGTCTGCATATCAGATTATTTTAAGTTGTTTGTCTCTCATTTGGTATCCTTTTTTAGTTCTTACCTTTTTTATTATTTTATCCATAATCTGGTTGAACAATAGAGTCGGCGGTTAATTATTCTTCCACTTTTACTTTTATTGTGTTGTTTTGGTAGATATTTTCGATCGTTTTGATTATTTCTAGAGGTATATCTCTTGCGTACAATAAGTGGATAACGTCCTTTTATTTGACCCGTCAAATGCCTTCTTAAGGTCCAAGAAACATAGATATGCCGGCTTGTTGTATTCTGATGATTTCTCTTATACTTACCTCATTATAAATATTACGTCAGTGCATAATCTTCCCTACCTAAAACCTTGTTCTTCTGCTAGCGTTATAATTTCATTCAGTTTATTTGTTATCACTTTGGTTTTTAATTTTAGTGTTGTATTTAATTAATTAATTCTTCTGTAATTTTTCGGGTCTGATTTGTCTCCCTTTTTGAAGAGAGGTATTGGGATGCTTGATCTTCATTCTTGAGGAATTCTGTTTTATTCTATTATTTTTTGGATTAGTTTTAATAATTGTTTGGTTAGATCTGGTTCTCCATACTTTATGAGTTCGTTCGGTATTCTGTCCTCTCCTAATGGTTTTCTATTTTTTAATTTCCTTAATGCTTCCTCTACATCTTCCTCCTCAATATTTAATTCTTCGTTTGTCGTCACCTCTGGTGTTGGTGGTTCATTATTGTCACCTTTAGCAAATAGGGATCGAAAGTAGCTACCCATGTTTCCTTCAGAATGTGTTTCGTTTTTATTAGTTCGTTCATCTCTTTTCTTTGTCCTCTGATCATTCTCCATATTTCTTTTTGTTTCGTAGAAGTCTTGTTCCATATGTTTTGAGAAGCTTTGCCAGTGTTTCCTTTTTATTTGTCTAACTAAAGTATTCGTTTGATTTCTGATTCGTTTATAGTGGTTATATGCCTGTTGTGTTTGTTGTGTTCTGTATTATCAAAAGGCTTTCTTCTTTTCTTCACATTTTGTCTTTACTTCCTCTCTAAACCATGGTGTTTTCTTTTTTGATATGTTAGTGTTTGTTACTTTCCTCTCTCCAAGTTGCTGCGTTAATTATGATATTTTTTAGTTTTCTCCAGCTTTCCTCGATGTTATCGTTCTCTAATATTTTATTCCCAGCGATCTTTTCTAATATTCTTTTTCTGTATAAGTATTCTGTGGATTCCATATTTAGTACTTCGACTTTGATTTTTATTTTTGTTGTCGCCGCTCTCTTGGGTATGAAGTATTTCAGGATTATTCTTATTTTACATAATACTAGGCTATGGTCGCTACCTACATCTGCTGAGTTGAGGCATGTTACGTCGATTATTTTCGATGGATGTATATGTCTGTTGGTGTCAACATAATCTATCATAGATCTTTGTCCACGGGTGTTATTAAATATATATTTGTGTTGGTCTTTGTGGTAAAAAAATGTGTTGTTTATTCTATTCTATCTGATTCTGAAAGACTATTGTATCAGCTTTTGAGATCTGCAAGAATTTTTAATCTGAAACCGATTCGGCTGTGAGCGCTAAAATTCTGGATTAATTAGCTTTAATACTCGCCGGTGTGTATTAGAAATACCTAAATAAAACAAAAGTATTAATTCTTATTTATTCATTTTTTCAATTATATTAGATTGGAAAAAAAATTGTGTGAGTCGCTCGCGATGATCGATGCAAGATTGCTAGCACTCCAATAATTTTCGTAATATTTAGGACGAGAATAGGTAGGTATATTATACCGTTAATTTTTTCCTTGCCCGCGATCAACTGACTTGGGGGCGCGATCGACTGGACTCTTGGCCTCCCCTGACTACTTGGACCTGTGGAATTGCCTGCTCGTTTAAATGGTGTTGATTACTTACATTTCCTGTAAAATGTTTTACCTGATTTTTTGGATGATGTGTCTTTAAATATTTTGCAAAACTTATGGTTTCTACACGGCGGCTGTCCAGTCCAATTTAGCAGGAACCTACAAGACCACTGGATTGAAAGAGGTGGTCCAGTTGCTTAGCTAGCAAAATCACCGGATTTGAATTCTTACGATTATTGTGTTTGGGGATACATAAAAGTATTTGTTTATTCTATTCCGATATAATATCGGGGCTAAGGATACAAAATACTTGCAATGATTTTAGAAATAAGTTTGGAATTTTTGCAAGAATTCGGCGTTCTCTAAGCAGAAGGATAAATTTATGCATGGAGACCAATGGTCATCACATCAAGCATCTGTTGTAATTATCTACCTTTGATACTTGCTCTTTCGTGTTAGGTTCTTTCCATTGTAATAAATAGTTTTTAAAAATGTTTAAATAAAATTTGGTTTCAATTTGATTTTTTGCTTCTTTTCCCAAATTTATATATACAATCCCCAACGAATTGTATACTGCATATATTGAAACAAAAGATAATTTATAAAATTAACTAAGGTACCTAATTATTTAACATTCATGTCAAAAAACGAAAATGTTCAAATCGATTTTTCTAGAAAAACGCTGTATCCTACATACTTAAAGTAAGAACACCTTTTAATAATAAAATATCTGAAAAAATAATCTAGTATTAGGAATGCCCAGAAGTTAAAGACAAAAAAGTTGACCGTTGACCTACCGAAAACGGAAGCCTATGACAGGTATTAAACATTTGCAATTAATGGAATCGAATCAACTCTGGAAGATAAATAATCGTACCAGTTTTCGTTTTTGTAAATATAAGCGTTCTGAACGTATTTAAGAAAACTAATTACAAGGCGCTATCTTCAAAGAGCTTTAGCTCCATTAGAAAGCATTTTATGACTAGGTGAATTGGGTTAAATTGTCTTCAAATTACCTGAGGATTCTCCGGACTTCGTTTGTCATGAGAGTTTCCGGCTTCTGGACACCCTTTATAATAAAAATGTGTAGCCTTAGGAGAAAAATATACGCAAATTTTACATTAATTCATATTATATTGCTTATTGTGAAAAAATTACAGTGTGTTAAGTTAAATTTTAAGAAAGTTAATTTTTTTTCATTTTTTAATAAAAATTTCACTGTATATCTATAAATTGGTACTAAAATAATCGACACAAAGATATAGTTTTGGACAAGAAATATTATTTTATGTGTTATTTTACATTTTGTTATAGGGAACACCGCTTACATAATTCCTGAGGATAAAATTGAGTCGAAACTTTTTTCAATGAAACTTTTTACTGATTTTAATTATTAGAACATATGACGTAAACATTGTTTTTACCGTTTCAACACAAACGCAACTGAACAGTATTGACAAATCATAAACAAACTACAGTTTTTAATTGTTATGGTTATGTTATAAGGACATTTCAGTGTAGGATTGCTAGTCCGTGAGTGGTGACTAGGGAAACCTCATTAATATATGAGTAGTACCGAGGGTAGGCTAAAACTAGCACTGCTTGTAAATCAGACAACAAACGGCAGAGTGGTAACCAGGTGCTTATTGAAACTGAAACTGAAACAAAAGGCCTTGAGTTTCCGGTAGACTTTTGACAGGTAAAAGGTGTTAAAAATCTCTTGGAGCAATTTAACGATTGGTCATTAACCAATATATTTAGCCTCAACTTTGGAAACGTTATTTTTGCTACACCTTTTTTGCTCCGTCTTGTTTGAGAAACTTAATGTATATTAGTAAATATTCTCCCATCATCATTTGTATTTTACCTTTCCTGATTTCCGTAAGGTGCAGACGTCTATTTCATGTTCTCTCAAGTCCTATTCTATTTCCTGATCTCTGCTATTAACGCTTTTTTATGTTCTAAATAGCCACTCTCGTTATATTTTTCGTTTGCCAGTTCGTCATCCTTTTTCTCGCCTTTGTTGTTACGATTTTGTTTCTTCCTAATTCGAGGCTGTTCATCGGTACTTTAAGCATTTTTAAATTTTTTATATATGGCAGACTGCTAATCTAACCCTACCACCCTCCTCCTGTTTCCAGGCTTGGGACCGGCATCATGACTCAACAAACTACTTAATCACTTAATGCATGTTACACGAGATAATTGATGAAGTTACGATGGTAAGATTCGGTAGTAAGAATTGCGATGGTAAGGTTCAAAGGAAAAGTTTCGCAATCTATAAAGTATGAAACAGGAATTAGACAAGGAGATTCGCTAAGCCTATTAATATTTAATCTGATAATGGATGAAATTATAAAGAAAGTAAAAAAAGAAAAGGATATAGAATGGTAGAAAAGTGGCGGAAAATGAAGATGATGGAATGAGTATATGAAAACTACCTTGGTTACTTAATAGGAAAGATAAAATACCAACTTTTGTAAATGTTCATGCAGAAAAAGGTCTTAGCTAAACGTAGTTTTGGAGGTAGACGAATTTTACTGCTACGCAATCTTAAAGGGTGGTTTAATAACTCGTCCAACCGAATTGTTAGAGCAGCAGTAAGTGAATATAAATATTCACGATCATTACTAAACTTCAAGCGAAGACAGCACCTTAATAATGTTATCCTTAAGAAGCAAAAAGTAAATTTGCGTAATTTAGTATTTACGTTGACGTTCTAGTTTCTAAGTTTTGAAAATACCACGACATTTGAAAATTCCATTTGTCTGGTCATAAATAAGCGTTAACTAATTATATGAGCTAAAAGTGAAATATGTTTATAGTTACATATTTTTTAATAATACAATCTGATAAAATAACGTCAGGTCAGCACGAACTCAGAATAAGTTTGATTACTCTTACCTCACATTTTTCAACTGGCATCATTAACGGTTTGACAGGTTCCGGAACAGTGGGCAACACAATCGGTGGCGGACAAGACATACAACAGATGGGATGAGGCGGCATTGGGCAATCGGCACATGGTTGACATGCCGCAGGGCAGCACGCTTGACTGCCAGTCATATTTATACTTCTAAAAATACAGATAAGCTTTCGGTATGCGTAAAATTTAACAAAGGTTATTCGACAGAACAAGGTAAATTCTTAAACGGTTTGAGTGAAAACAAGTAAAAGTAACTAATAAGAATAATAGAGCTGACTATAAGAAACACACAAGCAACAATAAAGCCAGGAAAACTGAAAAAAAAACAGTGGTAGAGAAGGTGTCCCGTTATCAATGGCATTGTTTATTTCATCGATAACTCAGATAGTAAGTTGCTTATTATATGAATAACAAATAAAAATAAAAAAAAAGGAAAAGGGAATTGATACATAAATAAGAATATATAGATATGGCTTTGCAGAAGTAGGTGCTTTTAAATACTTTGTGGATATATTAAAAAGAACTAAATTTTATTTACTGATTATTAAAATTAAATTAATTATAATTGACACAATAAATGAACTAGTAGATCTTAACGAAGAAATCAAGAGGTAAATATAGTTTTTATAGAAACTAAAATGTTTGCATACAACAAATTTAAACAGTAAATTAAACAAATTTTGTTTTTTTAAACAAATTTAAAGTAATACAAGGTATCTTGTAATATGCAAGTATTAAAAAACTATGTTACTATATCACCAACACTTTTTACAACCATCCTACAACCATAATTTTAAGATGCTCGAATGGGATAATGTAAGAATAATTACTGATGGAGATATACTAAATCATTTACGCTTAGCTTAAGAAGTTGTTCTAATCTCAGATAGCTGGACGGATTCAAAATATATCTAAAAAATTCTAAGATCACGTCAAATTGGAAATGAACTTAGGTAAAATCAAAACGCTTTTACACATAATATCCCATACATACATACATACTCGATTCTCTTGTATCTTTTTTGTAGGTTGCATTACGTCGCATTGGAAATACGATCTTTTATTAGAGTATATATTTCTTTTTGTGTAGTATAGCAGTATTTAACATCTTCTACTTTTACTGATGCTTTTGTACTCTAATTGTATTTGCACTTCTTTATATTGTTTACACACCATAAGAACTTCAGTTTTTATCATAGATTTTTCCGAATATATAACCATTACCAATGCATATATGAGCTTAGAGATCTACATTTGCTTTAGTCTATTTGCCCCAACTGTAGTTTTATTGCCTGTATTTTTGCACATCTTAGCTATTTCGTGCATGAAAATATTAAATAAAATACAACTTGACACATCTACCTGTCTTTGTTAGTTTTCGAGATATTTTTGGTGAGATTTTTCTTCCATGCACGTACTCAAACGCCGTCATGTCCTACAACCCTGTTATTCTTAAGTTTCCTATTGCTTTTTAATACTACTACTACTATCGGTTTACAGCGTTCTCCGACGCCTTCCGACTCCTAACCGCCATTCTTCTCTATTCAGCCATAGGCCTGGAGGGATTTCTCTTTCCTCTAGTTCTTTTTCAATTCCCTCTCTCCAGCTTCTTCTCGGCCTTCCACTTTTCCTTCTCCCGTGTGGTGTCCACGTCAAAACCTGTTTTGGAATCCTGTCATCTGTCATTCTCTGTACATGGCCGTACCATATTAACTGTTTTGTTTTTATGTCATCAACTATTGTATGCTTGACTCCCATCATTTCTCGTATTCTCTCATTTGGTATCCGATCTCTTCTTGATTTTCGTGCTGCTCTTCTCCAGAAGTCCATTTCTGTTGCTAGTAACAGTTTCTCTGTTCTTTGTTTCATTGGCCAAACGTCACTGTCATATGTGATTACACTTTTAAGTATGGTGTTGTATATGAGTTGTTTGTTCGCTTTAGATATTGTTTGGTCCCACAGAATCCCGTTCATCATGGATATGGCTTTTCTACCCTGTATGTTTCTGTCTTTTATAGCAGCATCGAGTGTTCCATCTTGAGTTATCTTCATACCCAGGTACTTGTATTCATCACAGTTTCTAATGACTACCCCATCGTCTAATATAATGGACTGTTTTGTCCCTCCAATACACATGGCTTCAGTTTTCTTAATGTTGACTTCGAGACCCCATTTGTTATATTCTTCTATTAGCTTCCGAGTCATGTAACTCAAGTCGTCATGATCCTGAGCAATCAGTATTTGGTCATTAGCGAAACATAAGCTGTACAGTGTAGTCTCGTCATTGAGAAGGATTCCCATGCCACTACATTTTCTTTTCCACAGCTTGAGTGCTTGTTCCAGATAAATTTTGAAAAGGGTAGGCGAAATACAGCAAACGTGTTTTAGCCCTTTCGTGACCTTAAATCCTTCAGATATCCTTGATCCAGTTTTAATTTTTGCAGTCGTTCCATTATACAGACTTTGGACTGCTTTGATAAGACCATGCTTAATGTTGGTTTGCTGTAGGGTTGACCATAGTTTACTTAGGGGTACACTGTCATATGTTTTTTGTAAGTCTACGTACACCAGGTGAACTTCTTTATTGACGGCTGTTTTGTTTTCAGTAACTTGCGTAATAGAGTACAGGTGGTCTACTGTGGATCGCCCAGCTCTAAAACCAGCTTGTTCCTCTGCTTCGTAATCTCTATAGTCATTTTCTATTTTGTTCTTAATAAGTTTCCCATACATCCTACTTATTGTGCTGTTTACCGCAATTCCTCTGTAATTTTCACACTGATCCTTGCTGCCCTTTTTGTGGATAGTTGACTGATAGATAATTTCCATCCTTTTGGTAATTCGGCCCCATTCAAACAGTCTTGAAAGAGTTTTCTTAACTGTTCCTGGAGTTTGTCTGTACCGGCTATCACTAATTCTACAGGGATGTCACCAGGATCAGGGGATTTTCCATATTTCAGGGATTTAGTTATTTCTTCCATCTCTGATTTACTTATTTGTAATTGTGATGAATTTATACGTATACCTATCGTGTTGTCTTCCATGTTAGCAAATTCTGGTCTTTGCTCTGTTGGTAATTTTTTGAAATATTCTTCCCATTTTTCTGTTGTTATTGGTGATATAACGTCTTTTTTCTTATTATTTCTCATACTTTTAATCAATCTCCAACTCTCTGTGCTTCTTCTACCTCCTATGTAGGTGTTCATCTTTTGGCAGTTCTGTTCCCATGATTCGTTCTTTTTTGAGTTATCTTTTTTTTACTTAGGTTTGTGCTTCTTTTTAAATTGTTTTATCGTCATCTGTTTTTGTTGTTAAGAATGTTTGGTATTTCCGGCATTTATTTTTAATTTCTTTCTCTATTTCTTCATCCCACCAGTACGGTTTTATCCTTTTATGATTTTCGTCACATTTCCCCAGTGCTTCTTCTGCTGCTAAATGAATCGACTTTTTGATGTGTTCGTAGTGTTTTTCGGTATTTTCAAAATCACCCATTTCTAATTTTTGGTCTTTTGGTCTAATCGTTTTTTATACAGTAGCTTTACACTCTCATGGTTTAAACTGTCCAGGTTGTATCATACTTGTTTTATTAACTGATTTGACTCGATGTGCTCTTTTTCTTTTTCGTATCTGTTTGGGAGTACCGTTTTAACTTTTAGCAAATGATGATTGGTGCCACATGATGGCCCTCTGGCTACTCGCACATCTTGTATTTTAATTTTAGTTCTCTGTCTTACAGTGCTATAATCTATTATAGATTTCAGATTTCTGGTCTGTTGTATCCATGTGTATTTGTGTATATCGCGATGTGGATAAAAATCATTTAATATTTTTACGTTATTTTGTATGCATGTTGTTATTAATCTGGTTCCATTATCATTTCTGGTATTTTCACCGAGTGTTCCTACCACTTTGTTGTTCAATTTCCATTCAACGCTGCTGTTAAAGTCTCCTAGAAGTATGATCACCCTACATGTTCCTAGTTTTATAATTTCATCGTTCAGTTGTTCGAAAAATGAATCTTTACTGTTGACCAATGCGTCCTCATTAATTCCATATACACCTAGTATGGCTATTCTGCTTCCTTTTATCGTGATTTTTAATATTTTCCCATTTAATTCCCTATCTGTGTTTTGGCCGTTTCTGCCGCTTCAGCATTATTATTTATATTATCAACTATAGTTTCCTCATTTTTAGTATTTATATATATATATATATATATATATATATATATATATATATATTATATATATATATATATATATATATATATATATATATATATATATATATATATAGAAAGAACTATTTAATATATCGACTATAATAACTACACTATATATAACTATATATTATAACAACGTATGTGCTAGGAAATAATTTATTATCGTCTTTATCCTCAATACCTCCTGATCTTTTTGTAGTGGTTTTCTGTGACTTTTTATTGTTTTAAATAGTAGTTTAGTATTTCCTTAGCTGCTATCTTTTCAAATTCTTATAGATAAATTCAAATTCTTATAGAAAACATTACCAGAGTTAGCAAAAAGATGAGAATAACAATTAATATAATATAATATAGATAAAATCAAATACATGGTGATTTCGAAAACCCCTGCTGATAATATACATCTGACACTGGAGGATAAACCGATAGAGAGGGTCGACAAGTATAAATACGTCGGAGCAATTATAAACTTTCAGACTAAACAGACAGGTCCAAACAATACTAAAACACCGTAGCGAAAGCTGGGAAAGTCACATTCGAGACATGGACCACAAGGCCCAAATATGCAAAATATTTGGAGGCTCCAAAGAATACTCAGGAAGAATAGAAAATAAATCCCGCCACTACACGGAGAAAATGGAATAGTATTATACACCACTGAGGAAAAAGCAGAGGTAATAAGAAATACTCTCTCGAGAGAGTGTACACTAAATTACCACCCAGACGAGGACATCAACTTCATAGAAGAAGTCGAAGGACAAAGAGGAGTATCCAAATAAAAACGTCCCTCCTACATCACGGGAGGAGTTAAACGAGCTAATTAAAAACAGCTCGACGAAAAAAGCACCTTCTTCTTCTTCTCGTGCCACTCCTAGCGGAGATTGGAAATCATCATGGCCACTGCGACTTTGTTAGCAGCGCGCCTAAAAAGTTCAATCGAACTACACCCGAACCATTCACGCAGATTACGAAGCCACGATATTTTTCTTCTTCCCACACTTCTTTTGCCTTAATTTTGCCCTACATGATGTTTCTTAAAAGTTCGTACTTTTCACCTCTCACAATGTGCCCCAAGTATTCCATCTTTCTAGTTTTTATCTCATTTAGAATTTCGCATCTTTTGTCTAAAGTTTGGAGTACTTGCGTGTTAGTGACGTGGTCCATCCATGATATTCTGAGAATGCGCCTATAGCACCACATCTCGAAAGCTTCGATGTTTTTTATGGTCAACTGTTTTAGTGTCCAAGCCTCAACTCCATATAACAGGGTAGAAAAGACATAACACCGCAGCATTCGTATTCGTAACTTTATATTGATATCACGATTGCAAAAGAGTTTGCGCATTTTATTAAAGACTGATCTAGCAATTTCTATTCTACATCTAATCTCTTTTGTTTGATCAGTATCGTCTGTGATCCAAGCACCTAGATATTTATAACAGGGCACACGCTCAATCGTTGTATTATCTATTACAAGATTAGCTCTGATGTTCTTTGATTTCGTGATTACCATAAATTTAGTTTTTTTCAAATTAATTTTCAAGCCGTAACTGTTACAGTATATATTGAGACTTTGAACGAGATGTTGTAGTTCTACTAGCGTTCCCGTTAGGAGAACTGTATCGTCAGCATACCTTATATTGTTGATCGTCTCACCATTTATTATCAGACCAAGATCTTCTTCCTCGAGTGCTTGTTCACAGATAGCTTCACTATACAGATTAAATAAAAGTGGCGATAAGATACATCCCTGCCGGACTCCTCGACGGATTTGAATTTCTTCTGTTAGTCTGCCCTCAACCTTGACATTTGCTGTTTGATTCCAATATAGATTGCATATAATTCGAATATCTCGGCTGTCTATATTTTTCTTTATTAGAACTTGTCTTAGTGGTTCATGTTGTACTTTGTCAAAGGCTTTTTCGAAATCAATAAAGCAGGCGTAAATTTCTTGGTTCATGTCTAAACATCTCTGTGAGAGAACGTTCATTGCAAACAGAGCCTCCCTTGTACCCAGCCCTTTTCTAAATCCCATCTGAGTGTTACTGATGTCTACGTCTAATTTCCTATAGATCCTATTATGGATTATTTTTAAGAACAGTTTTAGAGCATGACTCATCAAAGCTATCGTACGATATTTGTTGCATTCCTTTGTATTTGCCTTTTTTGGCAGTAGTATAAAGGTCGAACGGAGCCATTCCCTAGGTATTATTCCAGTTCTATATATTGTGTTAAATAGATCTAGGAGTATTTTAATAGATTCATCGTCCATCAGTTTGAGCAGTTCTACGGGAATTTCATCAGGACCGGGGCCTTACCACTTTTTGCTTGTTGCACCTGGACCAGAACAAATAACGAACGGGGCTCTGAAATACTTACCGGCGTGAGCCATAATATATCCAACAGATAACATAATAATTGCGATGCTAAGATTTAAGACATTCCCAAATAGGTGGAAAGAGGCATTTGTCATAATGTTACCAAAGCCAGGAAAATACAGCACATTTCCGCAAAATTACATGCCAATAAGCTTACTACCTGCAATCAGTAAGATTGTAGAGAGAGTCATACTCAGTAAACTCCAAGCCCAAACAGATAGACTAGACATAGTACTAGAAATGCAATTCGGTTTTAGACCAGAGCTTTAAAGCGAGTTACAAGTACTCAGATTAACAGAGTACATAGCAGCTGGATTTAACAATAAAAAATATACACGCTGCCTACCTAGACGAAAGCAAAGCTTTCGACAGAGTTTGTCATAAAGAACTAATTTAAAAAATGAGAAGATATAATTACAGTGGTGCAGTGGTTACAGTGGCCAAACACAGAAACATAGACATTGCATTAACCACCCCCCAAACATCGATAGGCGATATCGAAGAGTGGAGTTTAAAATGGAAAATCGCATTAAACTCCGAAAAACGCAGGCCGTACTCTTCAAAAAGAAACACCAACAACCAGAGGAACAAGTGACAGTGCAAAACAACTCCATTGAGTGGAAAATCAAAGCAAAATATCTAGGAGTGATCATGGATAAAGGCTTAATATTTAATAAACACGTAGACGCCACAATACAAACAGCCTATATAGCAACAGCGTCAATAAGGACTAGCAGGAAGAAAAAGCAGACTGCGAATGAAAACAAAAATAAGAACTAATATATAGTATAATTTTTCCTATAAGTACTAACATATGCATCTCTCGATGTATTCAGAAAGATGCCTATTTAGAGAATTACAGCAAATTAGAGTGACAGAAATTATGAAAAAAGAAAAAGCAAGGACAAAGTTCGCAGAACTAGAGAACCATTCAAGTCACATAATGCGAGAGACCATGAGGTATGATGCTTTCCACCGATGGAAGCAAAAGGACCTAAGCAACAGATAGTGGAATAAAATTAAATTAAACCAGAGAGAAGACCAATAAAATACCAGAGAGAAAATAAAAATTACCGATGAGAAAATATAACAATAAACAACAATAACAACACACAAAGCGGATAGTTCGTAGCTCCATAAAATCGTAGACAAACGCAATTAAAATGTACACACTAAATATACTATGTTTCAGGACATCCTACAAAAAAAAAACTACAAAAAATAAAAAAAATTGCTTTGGCCGCAAAAAAAATTTAAAAAACTACTAATAAAAAACGGCGAAAGCCACAAAAAATATCAAAAACATTAAAAAACCCATGCAAGTAGGGCCGAACCCCTTGAGCACTAAGTCTCCGAACTGAGGCTAGCCCAGAGTGGGGGCTTGAGGCCCAAATAAGCAATTTTAGTTTCGCTGATAAGTCACATGAGGAAAACAGGAATAAGCGACAAACGCTGTCCTAAATTTGATTCGGCTAGGAAACCACGTTGGAGTTCTATTACACAGGACTCCCACATGAAAATGAAAATCATTTAGCTGATAGCTGTGCCCATATCGTGAGTGCTATAGGGTGGAAAGGGATAGTCTGGAGCATTGGAGCGTGGTGGACTGACTTCTGTTTTAACTTGAGTTAATACACCTCGCTCCAATTATACAGATCCAAAAATACAAGTCTATGTTTACAAATAAGAAATTTAGTATGGTTATCAAGTTGAGGTTCGTCGAATGTTATGTATGGTCCAACTGCTTTATGCAGTAGAAGCTTTGAAAGCCGAATCTGTAAAAAAATTGGACGCGTTCGAAATGTGGCTATAGGTACTGTCGAGATAAAGCTATTAATTAGAAACAAGCTATAACTAGAAATAGAAAAATAGGATAGAAAATAGAATAGAAAAAAGAACGCATTAGAGTTAGCATCATTTAAATACGTAAAAGTGGTAAATACTTACAGTCCTTCTATTCCTTTTAAAATACCTTGGAGATGCTTATTAAGGTAGCGTCACAGCAAGATATCTTCACAAAAATTTAAAATTTTGTAAATTTTATAAGGACTTGAACTAAAATTTAAAATGCATGCCTAAAAGTTTTGATGTTCAATTAAAAATTGTTGACAGTTTTGTTTACTGTCAACAATTTCGATATTTTTGTTTTTATTTGACCCTGCCTGGTCCAAGGGAGGTATGTGATTTGTGGTTCAAGGTATAGTGCTTATTATGTTATACTGTAATATACTGGAATAATCAAATATTAAAAAAAAAAATGATATTTTGGAAATTACACAAATTTACGGTATTTCGACTAGTGTGTGAGAAACTTCAAATGGTCTAATTCAGGGGTGTCCAACTTGCAATGCCTCAAGGGCCAAAACTAAAACCTTTGATGTTGTCGCGGGCCATATAATAATTTTGTTACAAGTAATAAAAAATAAAGTGAGGTATAAAAATAATTAAAACAAAAAAGAGTATTATTTCTTTTATTGCTCAACCACTACATTTTTTTATAAACGGAAAATTTATTGATAACACTTTTCAATAATCAAGACAAACATTGCAAAAGCAACGAAAAAGATGTATCTAATTAGTGTGAGGACTGTGGTCGATCGGCTTTATCCACCAATGAAGAAATGTCCACCTCCAGTTCAGTTGTAGACACTCTCATAAGATGACGTAAGGAAGAATCGGTAAGGTTGCTTCTGTTTTTATTTTTTATGTATTTCATGGAGGAAAAGGCACTTTCACATGTACATGTGCTTCCGAACATTGACGTCATTTTCAATCCAAAATCTCGCAGGTTTGGGAATTTCTCCTTTGACAGTAATTTGAAAAATTGAGGTTCCTTTTCTTGTCTGGTGATTAGAAATATGTCTGCTTGAAGATCACATAACTCAAGCTGTAAGTTGGGTGGTTGCTCCAAGAGGGTTATTATAAAATAGTACACTGCTTTTGAGACTTTAAATTTCTTCAAATCTTGTATTGAATTCATCAATAACTTGTTCAATTTGTGAAATGCAGGATGAAAACTCAATATTTTCCTCACCATTGAATTCTTCTGCTATTTGCAGATAGCTAGGGAAGTGTGTTAGGTTGTTCTTTTACAAAGCACGTTTAAACATGTTCAGCTTATTCAGGAATCCGTTTATCATTCCGATCAAATCTGAAACCGTCTGGTTTCTTCCTTGAAGACTCAAGTTTAATATGTTAAGATGATTAGTCAAATCTGTTATAAAAGCTAACTGTCTTAATAATTCTGGATCCTTAAACTTCTTCCAGTTCAGTTGTGTCAGATGAAACGTATTTGTTGAGGAATGCAGGGATTTCCTTTCTTATGGCAAAAAATCGTTCCATGCACTTTCCTGTACTTAGCCACCATGGTTGTACATTAGCAAGTCTCCATACTCAGCCTCTGTTTCCACTAAAAACTGCTTAAGTTGCCTGTGTAAATGAGATCGATTTCCACCTCTAATAATATTTATAATCTTAATCACGGTTTGGAAAACTTGATCTTCCTTGACTGATTTTCCACATAAAGCTCCCTGATAATACAATGAATTGTTGGGCAAGTGACACTATTCTCTCGAAGCAGACCCACTAATCCAATTTTTTTACCTGTCATTGATGGAGCCCCGTCTGTTGCTATGCCTGAACATTTATCAAAGCCTCAAATTCTGACAACTGCTTTCTTCACAGCCTCATAGATGTCTTTTCTTTTTGTTGTTCCATAAAGAGGACAAATATCAAATAACTTCTCTTTACTGGTAAAATCGTCAAAAGTAGTGCGCACAAATATTAACAGCTGACTAACATCGGTTTGATCAGTGCTTTCATCCAAACAAAGTGAGAAATATGAACTTTTCTTAACCAGGCTAAGCATAGATTTTTCTACTTGCTCACCCATAGCAACAATCCTTCTTTGTATGGTTTGATGTGAAAGTGGCACTGATTCAAATTAAAATACACAGTGGCAGCATTTAAAGAAAATATATATGCTTTTCGAAAATCACAACAAATAGCCTCGCGGGTCGCATCCTGCCCTCGGGCCGCCAGTTGGACAACCCTGGTCTAATTTTTTAATCCAAAGGTATGATTTTTAAAAAATAAATCACAAAATTTTAATAGAAACATACATCTTATTCGAACCTCGTTTGAAAGCGGACGTATTTAAAATATATTTCTTCGTTAAACAATAACGGCTAAATTGTAATATGATACGAAATGAGTCTTAACTGTTTACAAAAACAATAAATTAAAGCATTGCGACCAGGTGACTGTTTCCTACCAAGACTGAACATGAAAATCACAACTATATTGTAACCAATTAAATCATATACCGGATAATATTTAAATCTGATATTTCTCGTTCTCTGAGTAAAAAAATCGTGCGATGTAAAATATATGTCTCAGCCTGCATATCTGAGAATAAGTTCTTAAATTAGCAATCTGTTTTTCTAATCGCTCTGCTATACCCATCAATCCAAGTACTCGTCCCCTAAATACCACGGTTATGTCGTTCTTTATATTGTTTTGAAGCTATTTTCTTATGGCATCTTGTCTTGACGCTATTCGGAAGCTGTTTTCTTATAACATCTTATCTTGACTTAACAATAATAATTGAAAAGCTAAGCGCAGAACGTACGTACATGCATGCCTATAGTAGATCATTATTATTAAAAAACAATACGGAAAAATATTTGAATATATTCTATCCAAAGTGCACTAGAAGCCACACTTCGATTTATTATCCAGAGACTATTGTCATTACATGATTTCTATGACACTTCATAGTTATCCATTTATCCATAGCCTGGGTACCAGCTGTGGTAGCGGGTAGACACTTCTTTATGATCTCGGTACAGGTCAGCTCTACTATGCGACCCCATCCATGCGATCCATGCCTTTCTTTCTAATCCCTTCACCATAGGAAGGCATATCAATATTTCCTATGTCCTTACCTAAAATATATATCCCTTACCCCTTTTCTAAAATGATTATTCGGTTCCGCCACAGAACAGAAACAAACCAAGCAAGCGTGAATTCCTACTAATATATATATATTTCATCATTATTCTGGCTTTCCAACCCTGCGTGAGTCCTAGCCTCCTCAAGAATTTCTCTTCAGTCGTCCCTATTCATCGCCTTTCTCCACCAAGCACGTATTCCCATATTTCTCATGTCTTCATCGATGTTATCAAAGAACCTTGTTCTGGGTTTTCCTCTTCTTTGACCAATGGGTCTATCAAGAAGCGTTTTTCTAGCTGGGTTTACTGGATTTTGTTACATCCTCTTCTTCACACTCCATTGTTATTCACTGCTCCATACATTCGCCTTAGTACTTTTCTTTCGAAACATCCTAACATGTTTTCATTATTTTTTGTCAGAGTCCAGGTCTCTGAATCATTTGTTAGGACTGGGCGTATTATTGTTTTCTAGAGTTTTATTTTTGTATTTCTCGATATAATTGTCAATTTAAGGAGGAGATTGAGCCCAAAATAGCATCTGTTGGCTGTGCAAATTCTGCGGTTTATCTCTGCGGTAGTATTATTTTCAGTGTTCCCAGGTATACAAATTCGTTCACTGCTTCGATGACGTCGTTTTCTATACAAGTGGTCGTAGAATTTGTAGTTGCTTGCTTATTTTCATATACCTAATTTTGTTGGTGTTTATTATTAAACCCATTTTTGAAGCTGATTCTTTTAATGCTACATACGCCTCTCGTATAACGTTTTCCATTCTCCCATCAATAATCCGTTCTCCCATCATAGGCCAGGATTTGCACTGGCACAAGTGACCAACGTATTACTTTTTCCAGAGCCAGATTTAACAGTATATAGGAGAGAGAGTCTCCCTGGCGCATCCCGTTATTTGTTTTAAAAGATTCAGACAGTTCCCCTGAATTCGTACTCTACATTCAACTTTTTCTAATATATATTTTATCATACAATATAAGAACGCTATCAACAGATGAAAAACTAACAAAATTAGAGAAGAAATTAAAAAAAATTACATGGGACATAATAGGTATAAGCGAAGTCCAAAGAAACGAGGAAAACCAACTAATATTAAATTCTGGAAAACTTGTATACTACGTAGAAGCAGCCACATCTATATAGGGGTGTAGAGGAGTTGATCCAAAAACAATGCGTTTTCATTGTTGAACAATATTTTTTAAACAAATAAAAGTTTGGCGGCCACAGTTTGAAAATTTCGTAAAAAATATAATCGAAATATTGAGTTACCTTCGTTAACTGTGAAGAGATTAATTAAAAAATTTAGGGAGACTGGATCAATGTTCATCCAAAAACAAGCTGCTCAAATGTCAATATCGAAGTAGTGCAGAGTAGTGCAATATCAGAGTGTTGGTAGAACTCCAGAAACATCAATTCAGCGTTTTGGACAATGTAGTAAGCTTCAATCTAGTAAGCTTCCTCTTAATAGTAAAGGCTACTAATTTGGTTTTGGAAGGTTTTACAGAGAGTTTATCTTTTAGATAAATAACAATTCTTTATATAATGAAGAGCATATCTCATCTGATTCGCAGTACTGGAAATTTTTACCTAGTCACTCTTGTGACAATGTTGTCTGCGAAACTCTGGACTCAGATTCCTTGGCTGCTAAGCTTGTAATCGTTTTCTTTCTATCCATTATTTCTGTGACTCTCGTATTTATAACGTACATCGTTCTATATATACAGGCTGAACTACGCCAAAAATCCATCTCAAATGCCAGTAGTGTCTTCTCTGTTTGTTTCTTTAACTGCCAAGTTTCGCTTTCTTAAGGTACTAAGCTCTTAAAGATACTGTTGAAGAATGGTTATTTTTTTTCTTTTTGAGGTTTTTGATTTAATTATAGAGTTTAATGCACCAATTACTTTCTTTCCTTTTATTATTCCTTCACGTTCATCAATTTTGATCACTGTTTCGAGGTAGATTTACTTAGAACATGGAGAGATAGTTTTTCGTTTTACAGTACAAGTAAGACTGCGTACATGGTTTTTGTTGCAATTACGTTGAGACCCTTAGTTCATAGTTGATTATCAGTTTTTTCTCATGGACTATATGCCATCTCGATTCTGTGCGGTTACCACCTAGTTATATTACACCTAGTATCTCCAATGATTACTGGTCGTAACAAGATGTTCATCGATTTAAAACTTTATTTAATAAACTTAATTTATAAAGAATGTTGGGGATAAAATATAACACTGTCTTAAAACCTTTATTCACTACAAAACCCACGAAAAACTTTTATCTTAGACTATAGATTATGATAAAATCATTATAGCGGTATAAATGTTTTATTGACTTCAGTGTTTTCTATAAGTTGCCACAGCTTGATACAGTGTTGTGTACCCTTGCGAAATATTAAAAAAGCAAATAAATATGTCGCTCTCGAGTCATTTTTTTTTCATTGAGATATGTTAGTGTATAGATGTGGTCTATACAAAAACTTGATCTATTTCTAGAGGTTCGTATTCTTTTTTTCCTTACAGTTTTTCCTTACAATTTACTAAGGGTGCTGCTTATAATGATTTATTGATAGTTTTTGCAGTGTTCTTTGTTGCCTTTTTTATGGGAAGGCATTGTCCAGCCTTCTTTCCATTTTTATGGAATACCTTCTCCATTTAGATATTTATTGAACAGTTCTGTTAGTATTTTTATGAGTTGGGGGTTCTTATTTTTATTAGTAATGCAGTAATTTTTTCTAGTCCACTGTCTCTTTTAATTTTCATTTATTTAATTTGTTTTCCTACCAATTTTCCAATTATATTCACTTCTGGGCTATACATATTATATCTTCTAGGTGATTGGTTTATATACTAAACTTTTTGTTCTTTTAGTTTTTTTGAGTAGTGACTTTTTCGTTTGTGTATATTGATGATTTGGATATTTATTTTGTTTGTGTTATTTTTCGTTAAGTTTCTAACAAATCTCCATGCTTCTGATGATCTACTCCACCTGATGAGATTTCACCATTTCGCATCTCAGATCCCAGCTTTTGTTAGCGGTAATCACGCGCTTTTTTATCAATAACATCAGTCTCTATATAGCGCACCCATATCTTTATTTATACATACATTGTTTAATTAGTTGTTAAGTCCCCACTCATACATATTCTTTGTATTGTCATAGAGAGCTGTTAGTTTGAATCTTGTTTCTTTATCTGCTTCTTCTTGTTTTATTGTTAATCGGTCAGTTGTTTTATAATTGAATAGAACTTCACTTTGGGCTTTTACCAAATAATAATCAGTTCTATATTCTATGCCTATGAAAACTGGTGTCTTTTACTTTGAATTTTAGTCAAGGCGGGATCTGTTTTGGATTGGACATTTTCCATAGGAAGCTATTTTTTGCTGGAATCCCTTCAGCATGTGCCCAATATCGATAATCACGATATCCGCCAGTCGCAAACTCTATGCTAAATTTTTTATTTAACAAAATGTGAAAACCAATTGAAAATTTCTCATTTTTTTGCTCCTATTTTCGTTTATAATAATTGCGCTTCATGCAACATCCATAAAAAGAGAAATAAAAAACCGTTTTCGCGTAAAATATCGCTCGGAATGTATGAGAGGTGGCGGTGGGGGACATTCACTCGAATGTGAATCAGCGAGTTCAAAATAATAGCGCGCGCTAAAAATTGCATTATCTCGGCTTCTTGTTAATCAATTTTGCTCTGTTTTTTTTTAATTGATGTCTCGGACGACAAGGATTTCGAGTATCATATTGTCAAACACCATTTTTAATTGCAAATTGGAAAATTTGCAATAAACAATTGTATGTTAAACAAGTAATAGTATTTTTTCTTCATCCTTTTTTTTGAGCTTGCAATTTATGCATTGAAGTAAATTGTTACTTTTAGTAAACAAATATGTATTTATAAATTGTTAATAAATATTTATGTTGCCTTTGTTTTAACAATTTAAGTTATTTATTAACAATTTATAAATACATATTTGTTTACTAACAATTTACTTCAATGTATAGATTGCAAGCTCAAAAAAATGCATAAAGAAAAAATGCAATTACTTGTTTAACATACAATTGTTTATTGCAAATTTCCCAATTTGCAAAAATGGTATTTGAAAATATGTTATTTGAAATCCTTGTCGTCCGAGACATCGATTCAAAAAAAAGACCAAAATTAGTTAACAAGAAGCCGAGATAATGCAATTTTTAGCGCGCGCTATGAATTTTGAACTCGCCGATTTACATTTCGAGTGAATGTCCCCCACCAGCACCTCTCATGCATTCCGAGCGACATTTTACGCGAAAACGGTTTTTTATTTGTCTTTTTTATAGATGTTGCCATGAAGCTCATTACGTAAAACTTTTCATATACAAAGTACTTGACAAGACGAGGGTATTTGTTTAAAAACGAGCCCTCTATCACTGGTTACACGACAAATGTATTCCAACTTTGACCTTCAATATCTTGGCAACCAGCAAGCTGAATGTATCTTTTTTTTTTCTAAAAGAAGCGTCTTTTAATGTTCTTTAAGTATATAAATTTTGAAATTGATAGTTTTAGAGCTCGTAAAGATATTCAATTTGTTTATAAGCCTAAAAAATGTTTAAAAATTAAAAAAAATTCTAGGCTCTCCTATTGAACCGATTTGAATTTTACAAAAGCGTTTGAAAGTTTGAGTCTTCCTTTATATGTAAAAACACTATGCAAACTATGTTTGCAACTATCTGAGGGCCTTATTTAGGGCCTACTATAAATTTGAAAATTTGCGATTTTTTTCCAGTAGACTGGATTGCAAAATTATTATGCAAAACCTATCTGACCGATCTTAACAAAATTTAGCACACGTTTTAAACATAATAAAAAGTTTCTCTAGGTTTAGGTTTCAAGTTTAGAAAGTCGAAAACATTTAGAGGATTAACTTCATTTTATTGTACTTTTTTTTTCCAATTATTGCTATTTTTTCAACAATTAACATTAAATTTTCAATTTCTAGCTAACTAAATATTATGTAAAATTGAATAACGAAACTTTTAACTTCATAATTTTTTCTCTAGGATCAATAGAAATTTTCAATTGTTTTCAGATTTTGTTAAATAAAAAATTTAGCACAGGGTTTGCGACTAGCGCATATCGTGATTATTCATATTAGGCACATCCTGAAGGGACCAGCAAAACAATAGCTTCCTATGGAAAATGTCCATTATGGTCTGAATTTCTACAGATCCCCCTAGTCTATTTAGATTTTTTGTTTTATTATATTGTAGTCCATTATTGATCTTATTTCTTTCGTATATTTGGCATTGTGATATGTGTATTTGTATATGTCTTTATGTGGGAATAGCGTTTAAGATGTATAAGTACATATTTTTATTAATGTTTTTCCACTTTCATTAGATATATCTTCGACCTGGTTTCCTATTTTTGGATTAATTTGACTTCTTCCTTTTCTTGCGTTTATGAATTCTGTATTTATGTCCATAAAGGTATATGAGGATCGATACACCTTTGGCGACTCTTTGGTCTTCTAGTACTCCGCCTTAAGTGATACATCCATTTATTGCAATGCCGGGATTACCTCTTCTACATTATTTTGCCATTCTTTTGTATTCCAAGTAGCAATATTTATTATCTCATTTCGTTGCCGTGGCCGTCTTCTGATAATCTCGTGTTACTTTTGTTTTTCTTACTGTTTAATATATTTTTTTCACGGCCTGAATGTAGTTCATCTATTTTAAGAAATGTCTTTACTGATATTTGGATAAGAAGCGAGTGGCAAAGTTGTTTCCTTTCCTTTTCTCTACAGGTTCACATTTTACGATTTTTCTTAGCGACTGGATAAATGACCACGTATCCATTTTGATTTGTAAACTTAAACTATAAATTTATAAACATTACTGAATTTACAAAACAAAAAATCATTTATTTAAAACTTGTAAATACATATATAGGGTTATACCAAAGTACCTTTTCAAAATAATTTAAAAAAAACCGTTTATTTTACAAGTTCTCCATGATGATGTGATTACTATTTTCGACTAGGAATCTGCAACTCTCATTATGTAACTTTCAGTTACCATGATCTTTAAAAAGCGTCCTAAAAAATATTAATAATGAAATTTTATGAACAAAAATTCTTATTTAACAAAGAAAAAGTTTTTTAACATAATGTGTTTGCGCAATCTCAAGTTCCCTGGATATTTGTCTACTACTCAAGTGTGGGTCGTTTAAACATCTAAAGATTTGTTTTCAGTTGCAGTTTTTATTCGCCCTAATTTGGATAAATCTTTTATTGAACCAGTTTCGTTTATTAATTATAATTATTATAACATTGTTACTATTTTTTTACTTTTTTACAGTAGATCTTGTTATGGGATTTTGGTTATGATATAAACTATTAAAGATATTACACGTTTCTTTTTGACTTCCACGCATATCACCATATCTTAATATCATTGAAATCTCAATTCGTTCGTTTTCAGATTTACGATCTATTGTAACTTTAAATCAACTCTAACAATAATAATTTATTGAAACGTCAAAGTTGCTATTGTAACAGTCATAGATAATGTAAATGTAACAGAAACTCCTTATATTTTCCACATAAACTGATACATGGATTCAGGAAACAAGAAACATAAAATCAATAATCGATTATATTGTAAGAAAACAAAAAAACCCGACCGAGAGTATAAGATGTAAGAAGAGTTCAGAGAAGCGCAACATGCGAAAGGTTTTAAAGAACCAAATTTAGAGAGAATACTTAGATTATGAAGCAGAAGAGGAAGCAGGATTTCGTATGGGTCGATCCACTATTGACCACATTTTCTCCTTAACCCAGATAATAGAAAAAAAGATAACACGGAATCAAGAGATTCATATGTTGTTCGTCGACCTACGGAAAGCCTACGACAGCGAGTTACAGTACAATGACCGCTACCATCCAGTAAATTATACCACGTGGATTCTACAAGGGAATACCGCTCGATCATTCTGGACTGAATTGCGACGTATTGGACTGCAAGATCAGCAATTATGAAATTATAAAAACACTATGTAAAAATCAATATTTTCAGTCTGATTTGTAGTTTAGTCTGATTTATAATTTAGTCTGATTTAATTTATTGTTGTTGCTACTAAAATCTTTGTAAGTCGAAAATAAAAGTTTTATTTGTGAAGTTCAGTTTTTAAAAAAGTGTTTTTATAATTTCATAATTGCTGATCTTGCAGTCCAATACGTCGCAATTCAGTCCAGAATGATCGAGCGGTAGTCCCGTGTAGAATCCACGTGGTAGAATTTACTGGATGGTAGCGGTCATTGTACTGTAACTAGCGTTTCACTGAAGAAACTGTGGCAATCAATGAAAAGCACGAATATTAATATATAATTAATAAAAGCCATCAAAGTTCTATACAACCAACCAATAACAAAAATAAAAGCAGGGACACAAATAACAACAGGATTTATAACATCAAAAGGATTAAAGCAAGGATGTTGTCTGTTTCCCACGTTATTTAATGTATATACCTTGAAAGTGCTTTAAAAAGATGGAAACAAAAATGCAGGACAATGAGGATACCGTTCACCAACACTATGGTATATACGCTCAACTTTGCAGACGATCAAGTAATAATGGCTCAAGAGTATGACGATTTAAACTATATGGCACGAAAATTAATTGAAGAGTATGATATAGGAGGTCTAGAAGTAAATAAAAAGAAAACCGAATATCTGCGTATTGGAGTAGAAGAAAAAGATCTCATATTAGACGATAACATCACGATAAAACACTGCTGTGACTACAAATATCTAGGTATCACTAGTTCACATGACGGAACATTAGACAAAGCGATCAGAGAGAGAAATACGTCAGGGAGAAAAGCCATCACAATGTTAAACAGCGTTTTATGCGACCAATCCATCAGTAAATAAACTAAAAAGAGGATATATGAGACTATAGTAAAAAGTATCACTTCATACAGCTGTGAGGTATGGCAACTGAAAGAAAGAACACTGGCAACGCTGAAAACGACGGAAATAGATTTTGGAGAAGAGCCGAAGAAAGATCTAGATGAAAAAGGATTACCAACGAACGCATTAGAGAAATAAAGGGAATCAAACGAACAATCACAGATGACTTAACAACAAAACAACTTATCTGGTTCGGACACATACAAAGAATGGATGAGCAACGAATACCAAAAGAAATATTAAAATGGCAACCAGAACGAAAGAGAAAACGAGGTAGACCGGGAAAAAGTTGGAGCGAAGGAATAAATAAAGAACTTAGAGAAAGGGCCATAGAAGAAAACCAATGGAACAACCGGACCAAGTGGCGATTGGAAGTCGGAAAACGACGGAGAATCTTATAAACCGACAAGTAGTAGTAGTAGTAGAAATAACTCCGAAATTATGGCATTTAGGTATAAGGAATATTACATAAAAAATAACTAGTATTTCTTACGGATGATAAAAGGCAAAAAATATGCAGGGTGATCCATTTGCAATAAAAAAGTTCATTAGATTTCTAGAAAAACGGAAGATCTGACAACAATGTAAATACCACCATTGTATCGGCCAGATTTTAGATGGGTATGGGTGAAATTGCCTTTGAAAAACGACGCGTGTCACTACTGTCACTTCAGTATTTAGATTGACTTTTAACAGAGAACATGGAGTCTCATAGATGTAAATCCCACAGATCACCTACCTCCCTAGATGTTCCACGACAATACTTTAGTTGGATATGAAATTCAGCGCTCCATAAGATTAGTATCGGAACTAATTCAAGCGAGAAATTACGCGGGAAATTCAAATTTTAATTTTGGTGGGAAAATTTATTTGAAATTAAAAATGTCATGCATTTTTTTTCAAATATACCAAATTATATTTAAAAATTTTAAACTTTATTTAAAATAAAGTTTAAAATTTTTAAATATAATTTAGTATATTTGAAAAAAAATGCATGACATTTTTAATTTCAAATATACACAATACAATTTAGGAAAAATAAAACAAAATGTAAATTATTTATTTATTTAATACTTGTAAAACAATTTTGTAATTTAATATAGAATAAAAATATGCTATTATCACTGAAAATTGTACAATTTTATGGAAAAAGCTTACAAAAAAGTCAGAAAAATAGCAATTTAAAATTTACTGAAATTACATAAATCGTCAATATCACAAAATAAAAAATAATAAAATACACAATGTATTGCAAAATTTAAATAAATTGCATAATAAATCCTTACGAACTAATACATTTTAATACAAGTTTCTGCATGTGATACTCAAATATATATTTATACAAATTGTTTAGTTACTTGTACATAACACTATTCGTTAAGAAACTCTTCTACTGAATAATATGATCTTTCAGATAGATAGGATTTTGTTCTTTTACGGAACTCAAGGAAAGAAGTTGCAGATTTAAGTTCATCAATCAGTTATTTGTTCTCCAATATCAAATATTTATTGGACTCACCATACAAATGTAAGCTAGGAATTGCATTTTTATACAATTTATGACTCCATGAAGAAACAAACTTATCTTCAACGTGTCTGTGGCAGATTCGTTTTGTTTTATAAACTGTACTAGCATTCATCATATCTAAATTAGGATTGTTTATAACACTAAGCCACTTCCTAAATCGTGTAATGTCTTCATCGTGGATTTGGAAAGGTATGTCTAATTAATGACGAATTAGTACATTGTAGGATACAACATTTATTGTGAAAAACCATATTTAACTGATTATTATTAATCTGCAAAATACTATTTGAACACCGCCAGGAACATTAAAACGTAGATCACTGAGGTAGGTGATTCGTTTTGTAATTTACAAACTAACACTAACAAAATCAAAATATAGACGCTAATATGACAATTGGCGATTGACAATTATAATACTCTTCTTAGTTGTGTTCTAAACCTAAACTGCAGAGTAAAACTAGAGACAGAGTAAAGCGACATCTGAAGATTAGTATCGGTACTACAAATGACATTAAGTTTAATTTGACCTTGAGCTACCTACGTGAAACGTCTAGTTATTAGTGGTCTGTGGTAAATCCAGTGAATCATTAAATGGTTGCGCTAAACTGGTAGTGCTGAATGTTTTTTTTTATATAAAATACGGAACAACTTAATGTGGGAATTGCTGTAAGGCGTACTTCGTTAATGACTAGTGCTAGCAAAAGAAGCATATTTACAATATCAAAAAAGAAAAAGAACAAAGTGAAATGTTGAAATTTGTCGTCATACTTAAAGCGTATACATATCTTTATACAAGGTACTGAGAATAGACTTTCGATTAATGGACAATTTATCGTATTATTCCCGTAAAGAGAGACTCCGTAATAATTCCTGGAATCAATCTGCAATCTGAATTTTTTTTTTTTTCGAGAAGTGCTATTTGAAATCCGAGCTATTAGAAACAGAGCGTACTTTTAAGATCAATACGGTAAGTATATTCTTGATGAATATGTTACACAACATAATGTTTCTATTTTAAGGCTTCCTGCGTATCATTGCGAATTAAAGTGGTATGGAACCAAATTAAGCGATATGTAGGTACCCATAATACCACTATTAAAAATGAAGAAGCGCGCCAGTTTATCAACGACGATTTCGAACGTCTAACAAAGCAAAATTGGCATAATTATGAAACTCATGTCGTTGTTTAACGGAAACTTGCACTTGACCGCGGACAACTTACAAGATGACGTAGACCAATCAACTTATATGGAAATGAATCCGACACCTTGGATATAAAGGGCGCCATTCGTATAGTTGAATATTTGTGAGTAACCTTGATTATTCTATAACCAATGAAACGTATTTATCAGTCCAATTACAGTACAAGCTTTTCGGGTATTCGGCTGGATGCACAGAAATCGAGTATTTCTTGGTATTTTTCCATGGGAAACCTTTTCGATAGTTCATGAAAAGTTGGAATAGGAATGTGCTATTTATCGAACCCTTTCACTATATTTCGAACAGTTTGGATGTCACAACTATCCAAAATATAAAAATGGCCACTTTTCAAACGTCAATACACGATATTGATACACGAAATTTATTAGCTATCGAAAATTTTACTATAACTACAGTTTTTCTATAATCGATCGATGCAATTCCCGGTGGTCCTAACCTGTAGAGCTATCAACAAATGAAATTTAAAATATATTTTTGTTAGTTTAATAAAGTATACAATTTTAAAATAAAATTCCCGCTAAAGACTTAAGACTTTATATTTATATTAACATGTAGGTATGCCTCTTATTTGACTCCTTAAATTATTTGTAAATAAATGTATTTTATAATAAATATCTAAAATTCTTTCTCTTTTATTCTAATTTGCATTATAAATTAAAATCAAATAAGGTAGTTTTACTCATAATAGAGCGCCGCAAAGATCTTTGGACGGTTCTGTACGTGACCACTAGTTGAACTTGTTTGCTGCGAAGTATATGGCGTGAAATCCTGCAAATGCGCATTTTTATTTTAACCGTACTGCACTCTGAGTGTTAGTTTAACTATAGCCGCATTCAGTCTTAATAGATGACTTTAAAAAGCTGTTGCAGTAACCGAGTTAAATTACTAATCACTTTACAACCTAATACTTAAAACATAGTAGGTACTTAATATATAGTAAATTCAAATAAAGCTTAAAACTTACTAAAACTATCTGGGACAATAAGCATTTAACGGGTGTTTCGGTTTAATTCCCACAGGGTGATCATAGCAGTGAGCTTTACATGGAAAATCATAACAGCAACATTGTTCCGAACATGGTTTGTGCATACAACAAGGCCTTGTACAAGGACCGGGTACGTATTCATTAGATTTTTTGGGTTTCGGGAGACATTTTTGGATTTCAGCAACCCAAATTCCACAAGGGTGATTGTTACCTAAAATGTCAAATATTTTTAAATAAACAAAAATAGTGTATGTTCAAAATATAAATTTTGCAAAAACTTAAAAATTACAAAGATAAATTACGAGAATTAAGGATGAGATGGCTTATAACCGTAGAATTTTAAAAGGATAATAAATCATACAGATATTTTATACCCGAATAAAACATAGACATAGAACTTGAAAGAGTAGCACTATTAAGTCAAATAACAAAACTATTCATTTTATGTCTACACAATCAAAAGATTCCAACGGAATTACTAGAATTCGAAATCTCCTAGATAAGAAAACCCATAGATTGGAAAAACTCCTTTACATATTCCAAAGACTCCTTTACATATTCAAAGGAAATAAAAAGTTTGTACCACCAGAAAAAAAATAATAAGTGAAACTAAGGTCGGAAGAAATTATTCACGACGGTAAAGATGAAAAACATGGACTGCAATTGATCATCGGCTCTGATGCGAATACCTGCTATTTCACTTAGGACAGTATAAAAAACGTAGAAAATACGTCAACTTTGGGATTAATATATATATATATATATATATATATATATATATATATATATATATATATATATATAATGAGTAAGTTAGAGAAAATAATAGTATATTCCTATACTTGAAGACGTTTCGCTTATTGAATTTACAAGCTTCATCATTCTTCACTCACCATTCGTAGTTCTTTTTCCATGTTTTTATATTATTGCCTACTACCATTGTAATTTTTTTAGATTGAACTGATGAAGCTTGTAAATTCAATAAGCGAAACGTCTTCGAATATAGGAATGGTACTGTGATTTCCGAACGTCCCATTGTCAGTGCATTCAACTGCCCTGCACAACCATTGGCCAAGTATTTGGCCAAAACCCTACAACCTTTCTCCGAAAATGCTTCATCCTTCGTCTAAAACTCTTTCCATTTCATCGAACTTCTTAAACAATACCCTATATCACCGTCAGACAGTCTAGTAAGTTTTGATATTGTCTCACTCTTTACAAACATTCCTATAGATAAAACTCTAAACATTCTGAAAACTAAATACAGTATCGAACAAGACCAATTATCTCTTATTAAACATTGTATGTCCAACACCTATTTCATCTTCCAAATTCAATTCTACAGACAAATAAATGGTGCCCAAATGGGCTCCCCTTTATCTCCAGTAATTGCCAATATCTTTATGGAAGACTTCGAGACCCGAGCACTATCAATGCACATGTTGCTACGATATGTTGACGATATATTTTACATTTGCTCTATGGCAGAGATGCTTTGGTATCTTTTCAAACCTATCTGAATGGTATACATCCTAGTATCCAGTTCACGATGGAGATAGAAACTGATTCATCCCTATTGTTTCTCGACGTTATCATAAAGAAAAATTAATCCCAAGGTTTTCGTTACTTTTTTTATCGAAAACCCACACATACCAATCGTTACTTGCATGCCAACTCTCACCATTCAACTTCACAAATTAATTAAGTCATTAATACCCTTGTCTTCAGATTAATACGCCTTTCCAATGATGCAAATAGACCTACTGATCTCTCTTGTTTAAAACAAGCCCTCATCCTAAACGGTTGCCGCGAAAATCACATAAATAGGAGCATTCACAGACATCAACCTCCCACTCAATCTTAATCCAAAGACTCAGACCCTTATCATACGAAAACTTTTCTTCCTTACATCAAAGATGTCACTGACAAAAAATTCTTTAATCAAGAGAAATAAAAACAATATTTACTTCCAACAAAAACTTTCATCCCTTGTCCGATCAATCAAAGACAACATTTCCAATAAACAGCACGGAGTTCATGAAATTCCCTGTGCAGACTGTTCCTGATCCTATATAGGCCAAAAAAATCGTAGAATCCAAATAGGATTTATGAACATTCCATTTCTGTTTGCAATTCCGATTTAATTTTAGCTCTAGGTCAACACCATCTTCATACAGATCATAAAATTGATTTTGAAAACTCCACAATCATAGAACCCATCCACTTCTATAAACCAGGAATCATTCGAGAAGCTATATAAATAGAAAAAAGGCCAAACTGTCTTAATAAAAGAGATGACGCCATATGGTTACCTTCTAGATGGAGACCTCTCAAAGAAAATATCGTCCCCTCCATCCTCGAATCAAAATCCCACAGTCGGAAACATTCGCAACAACTTCCGCACCAATCCCCACCCTAACCCCACCTAGGCCACTTCACCGTCAACGGTATAAATGGACTGTCCCCTGTTCCCAGACGTAGTAGTGAAGTGAAAAGTGATCAGTGCAGTAGTGTCTGGGGCTCGAGAGACTGAGACCTCGGAAGTCCTGAAGAAGACATCAGAGAGGATGTCGAAAGCTCGCCGCATTGGACCGGTTCGACCCGGAAGACTGGCGAGTTTAATATTAATTTTTGTAATAGTATTAATCTTCTAGGTTTAATATATATTCAAATTGTCACAATTATTAAAACGTGGCACATGTCAGATGCACATCTTTATTCAGATAAATTGGCACATCTGTTTTGGAATAACAGGTAATGCGTCTATCAAGAAAACTTATTGTAACCTTCGTAAATCAAACTAATAAGCATATCAAACACACCTAAAATATTGTTTAGGCAGGATTATGGGATAATAAGGAATACATTGGACCTATGGCCGCCGAACAATTTCAAGAAATTTTTAGGTCAGCGTTCAAAAACAAGTATCCGGAGTGAGAAATTGCAATAGGAAGGTATCTTGATGGAATGATAACCATATAAATCAAAGGACAGAAGTTAGGCGGAAATTAAATTTCACCAGAAGATCAGGTGAGTCGGGCGATTGTAAAGCTGTGGCTAAATATAATAAGAAACTCAGAAAATCTTAAAGAAAGCATTACGAGGTAATAGTACAGAGTAGAGAAATGTCAAGACCCCATAAAGTTCTCCCAAAGGAACCTCAGATAGGTATTCTCCTATTCTAAAAGCATTCAGATAAGTACATTCAGAATGGTTAAGAGTCTCTGACAAATCCTTTCAGGTGCAGTTGTTGTCCGTAAAAGTGAATCTTATTTTCTCTATCGAAGAATCATATTTTTCACGGGCTGATAGCTAGATTCGGCAATTAACTGTTGTTACAGAATGGACTTTAAATGTATGACTTAACATAAGCCACCAGAAGTCCAATATAATAAAATTTACAAGAAAGAGGAATTTAGGGATCTTGGATTCTTTAAGTAAAATGGCACATATCTAAATCTGGTACGTAAAGTATCTTGGGGTAATATTAGACTCGAGGCTTCCTTGGAATTAAAAGATCCATCCAAATGCAGCAAAAAAATACCAAACCCAATCTAAGGAAGGTGAAAATACTTGTTTGTCTTGGAATCACAGGAGCTATAAAAATTATACCAATGGCAGCTATTTAGGTCCTACTGGACCTTCCCCCCAAAGTTATTTCTGAAACATAGACAGGTCTGAAATTGCAGAAGGATCTAGAGTGGTAGTGTCAGACTGGTATTTGTTGTAGGATACCGAGGAATATACGGCAGTGAAAAAACTGATGAACTTGGGCCCATATCGGTTTCTTAATAAATAAATTAAGAAACTGACGAACTTATCAAATGAGCCTTAGCTACAATATTCTTTAGTCTACAGCTGGCCTTAAGAGTACCAAAAAGCATCTTCCGTGAACATACCCCTGATTGGAAAAAATACCCGCACGAACACATGGGAAAACTTATCTCATACAGACGTGTGTAAATAGGACTGAAGTACTGTGGAAAATAAGTAGCAATCAGCTCAGAGCCCTAATAATCTTCCTTAGTGGACATGCGCTAGTCAAAACGCACTTTGAAAAATAGAAATTAGGGAGGAAATAAGGGTGATCACCTTCCAGAGAAACAGGTGATCTACAAAGAATAACAGGAAACTGGATTGCAACTGCATAAGAAACAAACTTGAAAGCATTCAGAGAATGGCCGAATTCTACAGCGAACACAGAGTAAGCATTGATAATCATGATAAACATCAAAAAAGGAATTTAGTCAGAAAAGAATTCGTGTTTTAGTAATATTCCAAAAATATAATCTTACATGGTGGTGATAACTTCATGTAACATGGTTGAAAACCAGTCGGACATCCCCTTGTAGGGCTTTTACGTCTTCTTAAATAATCTTCACAGTTAGTTTTAGGCTTTTTTCCTCTTTCTGGAATTTGCTTTGGACCACGATTTGAAGGTGTTATGCAATGCCAATCTTCGTTATATGCATTGTAAAAATTGTGGTAACGCTTTTGTAATGCTACCTCTTCCGGTATACATTCCTAAACATTATTAAAAGATTTAATTATTAGTACCATAAATATATACAATTTATTTTTGTTTGAAAACACGATATAAGAGTAGATTAAGAGTACTCACATCTTTAATTATAGGACACGGCATTTGAAGAGGTTCTACTGGCTCTGGTTTAGTTGGAAGAAGAATTGGTGGAGGACATGACATACAACATATAGCATGGGGATATATTGGTGGAGAACATGGAGAAGTGAAACATGGTCCGCACGGGCCGCTGGAAGCATATAAAAATTTGAGTGATTTTCTTCCTTTAGGTCATGCATAACTATGGATATTGCCGATTTATTTTAATTGGGTTAAAAACACGTTTAAGTAAGTTGTTCAACAAGCAAAAAATCTTGCACTTTCTTTTAAACTAGGTTTACTGAAAATGTTAATATTTTTACGTGTCGAGTTGTTTGTTTGATGTATAAACTCACACTATGGTAATATCTTTATAACTAAATATATTAAAATTAAAAGCTGATTGATTGCAGTTTCTTTTTGAACGCCTAAGTCGTTCAAAGGAAAGAAGAATATTATTTAAGTATATATTGATTAAATGTTGCCACAGACATAACTGAACAATACCTCAAATAAGAATATGTTAAGAAGAAATAAAATAGAAGAAGGTTAGGGTACTTGCCTAAATAAAAACTTTAGAAAATTGGGAAACTTTTTTAGGAGAAGTTAAACATCAGATAAAACAAAACTAGTCATTCGACATTTGTTGAAAGCAAAGATGGTACTGCGATGAAAAAGGCAACAAAAATCATTTCATTACTTTTTTCTTAGTAAAATTATTCATGGCTAAGCAAACTTTTACACGGGAAAACTTGTACAAAGTTTCTACTTTGAATATTCAAAGTTTAAACAGTTCATCTAGGAGAACTAGATAATACGGTAGTTAAAACGAGAAGAAGTTTCTCACTAGTAATGGAATGTTATACTTTTATCATAGACAAATTAGTCGAAGAATCTGTTTGCAAAATTGATTCATGTCTAAAAAGATGGGTTTGCTTCTTATTTTCCCAATTTATTAACACCCTTATTTTTTCGGATCCTTTTATAACCTGATATCAAGGTGACCTTGTCTGTTACTGTTAATTTAATAAGATATTATTTTTATTCTCGAACGAACTTTTACTCACGAGTAAAATACTTCAGAATCTTTCAATCAGCTTGGTTATCTGAAAGAATTTGGATCTATATGTCTATGGCACCTATTTTCTTTTAAAAAATAGATGGAGCTATAGTCATACAATGATCATGGGCTAGCCTTGAAGTGACTACGAAAAATCAACTTACAAAAAGGGTTAATAAGTACAGGACGTGGCCAATGCCTAGTTAAAGCAAAAATATTAATAAATAGATAATTGAAAAAAATATATTTAAAATAAAAAATAATAAAAATTGAGAAAATAATAAAAAATAATACAAACGAAAAATATCACGGGACATTAAAACAACTTTGAGACGCTACAGAGAATAGACACAAGACTCAACAATTTGGTAGGAAAAACTTAACTTGGTAGCGAAACAGTGGTGGTAAAAATACTAAAGGAAATATTAGCATCCAACAAAGATAAAACAAAGTTAGCATCCAACAAAGTTAAAAAGAAAAGAGCCACCTTCAAACAATGAAAAACTCTAGGAATAAAGAAATGTAAAAGATACATCTAAAAAACTTTTAATTATGGCTGTAATAAGGTTAAACATGTAATATCAAAACAATATGAAGGGTCAGAAGGACAACCGACGAATGTCAATTTTTTGGTCATTTTGAGATTCTTCCGCCATCTGTCGGCGTGGAAAAAGTACTATCAGCCTATGATGTGAAGGATCTAGCGGAAATCGTCTTAAAACACGTTAGAAAATTGGATGCAAGGTGAAAAAACGATGAAAGTCGCGAGCGCAGGGGAACCGAAGTTAGTCTCGGACTAGTTAGTCCCAGATTAAGCGAGTACTAACTTCATTTTCAGAATGTTATTAAAAAACATGGACTAAGCTCAGACTAACTAAACCTTCCTTAGTCCTAGGTACAACAAGTTTATGTTGACAACCATTGCGAAAAAGAAGAAAAATGGAGAGAATTTTGTGAAAAAGAAGAAAAATATTTGAAAATTTGACAGTTAGCATAAGTTGGAGCACGTAGAGGTAATTTTAGTTGGACTATGTTCTGAGAAAGTTTGTTTATATTTTATAGTATTTTTTTATCTGAAAAGTTTAATCTTCATAAAAAATATTTTATTACTAAGGGAAAATATAAGAAATAAATAAACATAATGAATTGTAAAATATTTTATCAAATAAATTTTATATATTTTAATATGTCTTAGATGAATATTATTTCACTGATTTCTATGGTCATTAAGTTGTTCTATTAATCTTAAGTCGTTGATAAAATAATCTTCCATTATTAAATAATGTATATGAATAATCAAAAACAATTCAGGTTATGAATACCAAAACAAAACTCCACTCAATGTCAATTGTCAAGTTAGTCACTCTCTAAACCTGACACTATCTCGGCTTAAATGTTAGTCCGAGACTAGCCAAGGTTTAGCTTAGTCTGTCCTTAGTCGCTGTTTATTAATACGAAAAATGAATGTTATTGGTGTAGTTCTGGGACTAATGTTAGTCCAAGGTTAGTCCGTATTTATTAATAAGAGAGTAAGTGTACTCGATTCAAATGTTTTAATAAAATTACAGAATGTAAAAGAAAAAGATTGCTTTCCTATTTTAAAAATTTGGGAACTTTCGACGAACAAAATTCCATTCTTTCAGGACGGATTGTTATCATTCTAGTGCAAAAGCGAAAACTGTGTTCGAATGCAGGTAGTTATAATCGTGAAAAAATGCATCGTATCGCTTTAGAGTTAGAGCAAAAGTTCATGGATGTGACTGTTTGCTTCAAAGGTTTTATTTCTATATTTGGAATTACTTCTAGAAGAGTTCAGACTATTCAGAAATCGCTATTTGCTTGTAATGGATGTAAGCTAAAATATGAGAGGGAAAACATTCAAACCGACCACATTAACTTTCAGAAGAAAATCATGCATTGGTGACTTACTTTATAAATTCTTTGAAAGAACGCAAACCACACTATTCGCTCTTCTTCTTCATGTGGTGCCTATCCGTTACGGATGTTGGCTACTAGTATGGCAATTATAACTTTATTGTCCGCAGCTCGAAATAGGTCAGGACTCCTGAAGTCCTGAGTATTCGCTCACAGACTAAAAAAAATTGTATTTATCTGAAGACTTTAATTTGTTAAAATTAAGCAAGATGTACAATGACTTCTACCCTGAAAACGCTGTGCACTACGACACATTTCGATCAATCTTCAATTATGAATTCAACATATCTTTTGGATTTCCCCAAAAAGATATGTGAGGATATGTGATACTTTCAAGTCTCGGAAAGCTGGACTAGAAGAAGGCAATAACACTCTCCTTGTTCCAGAAAAAGTGATTGGAAAATTTAACTCAAGAACCTGGAAATACAATACAAACTTCACCTTGGAAAAGCTCTAAAATTTTATTCTGTTTAAGAAGACATCCAAAAAAATTAGTAGAAAGAAAGGCACTGTAGATGTCTATTACAGAAAATGACTGAGTTTCTACATCTTCAATATTTACATTTCATCCAATGGAGGGAATGAAAAGGTCTTCTATACATACGATGAAAAGTTGCTCGGAAGGGGTCAGAGGATTTATATTCTATGCTCAACAGTTCTGGGGACAAATTTTTGTTGAAAAAGTTTAATCAAATTTTTTTTCCTATTTTTGCGAAGGGGAAAATAAATAATATACTGTCAATCGCTACTTCCACTATCTCGTGGCTGAAAAATATCATTTTGAGAGCAATGAAGTATTTTTTCCCATTCGATGGCACTTATATCTTGAGTGGGCTAAAATATGAGCTACATAACTAAAAGTCATACGTTGAATTACCCAATGAATGGAGGGAGGTTATTAAGTACAGCTCAAAAAAGTCTTCACCATTCGCTGTGATTGACTGTAAAAAGAGCTGTTTAGTGCCTGGATCAAATACTTGGCACCAATTTATCAAGAGAAATGCCATTTTCCTACCAGACCAATGCGCCGTTTAAAAGCCGAAGCAGTCCATCCCACAAAAGTTTTTTATCGAAACACATTCTGCTGTATGAACGCAGATGTTATGTGGAAACCACCAAAATCACGAGAAAATAAAGGAAAACCTGCTCCATCAAGAGGAAATCTTAAAAACCTTTATAAAGACAAAATACCGATTTCTTAACCCAAGTTCAGTGATCTGCAACATCTTAAACGATTTTACCATAAGTTACCTACATCTCAAGTTAATGATGAAAACAGTAAAGAATGCAGAAGAGTAAATGGAATTTTTTTGCTTGTAAAATGTTTTTAAAATTACATAAACGTCATTTGACATGTCAAATAAATCTGTTTTTAGACAAAATTGCTCGTTTTCAATACTCCTACTCACCATAACACTCTACAAACTTTATTGGTACGACTTCTGGAGTACAGATATTACCAAATAATTATTTTTTGAACTATAGATAGGTGTTATTGAATAGCAACTTTGTTTTTCATTTAGCCGAAAATGTTTTGGGGTAGACATTCATCGTTCTTCCCCCTGACTCTTCACATAAAAAGATTTTTGCTTTCTAGAGCAATGATATAAAAAATGAGAGTATAATGTAGTAATTTAAACTTCTGTTATCTCTTAATAAATGAGACTAGTGAGTACGAATCCCTATACCTGGTTTTAAATCTGGAAATAGATAGATAGTCTAGACTCTAGAGCTAGGTCGATATTATTTTATTGGAGAATGGATGTACTTGTGTTCAAAATTTTACTTAAAAAGATCCAAAGCAAACAGAAGAATGTTGACATTTTTTTAATAAGCCACCGAAGCAGAATAATTTGGGATTGCTGGAATCTTCTGAAATGTGGAATTTTTCGACAAGTGTTAAAAGTCTTTTTCTATGGCATATTTATTGGGTGAAGGACTATACTACTTCAAGGAAACAACGCTTTTTAATAAAAAATGTAAGACAGTGGAAATACCTGTCAAAAAATTGACTTTCAGAATATCGCAGGACTAAAATATAATTGGCTATATTTAAGATAAATTCTAATTTATAAGGAAATTACCTTGGACGAAATATTTTATTCTGAATGAAAGTGAAACCCAGTCGTTTCGTAGTTGGACACTATTAATTGGAGTAATACCATGATATTTACCACTATTATAAGTTTTTAATCTTTAGTAAAACGAAAAACATAAATAATAAATATTAAATGTAAATGATATTTACCAGTCACCACAAGCCATTTTTCTAAGCTAAAAATTTAAATAGAAATACACATAAAAATTTGGTAAATTGACCTAAACATACAAAAAAAATTCGTTCTGAAGTATTACATTTAATTTATGTTAAAAAATGTCATATATGTTTCTATGGTATTTCTGTGGATATTTTAAGACTTATATGGAATACTAACTACTAATACAACTATTAAGATAATGAAGCATATATAAATGGACATTGTAGTGTTGTATTTCTCACAGGTATTACCAATATTTAGTACCACGAAATGAGAAGTAAGGATTTATTAATTTATGGTTATTGTACATCCGGGCAGGCATCTACACTTGATTACTTGTCCTTTAGACATTTAGACCTCCCAATACGGGTCCATTGTATTACAAAATTTTGTTTATATTACACCATTTGGACTAAGCCAAGTATTTCTGAATTTTAATTCAGTTATGTCTAGCCTTTATAGAAAACATGTCATGGAAACAATTTACTATTAAGGAACATTTTGGAATAATTTGCCGAGTCGATTCCGGTGATTCCGCGAGTTCGATTGCCCGGGAATTTAAAACGTCACGTTTAACAATTGGGACAAGAGGGACCGCAGACGTTCGGATACTTATAATTAGCGTCTTTTAGCAAAGACAATGACGTCGACTTTGCTAAGTATCAAGAAAATTACTCTACACACACACTACACTAGGTACCTGACTGTACTATGCCAATGACCATTAGTTGTCGAGGCATTAACTCAATAAAAAAAAAATTCAATATACTACAACAACTATATCTGTTCAAACTGTTTCTATGGGACATCATACATAAATAATACAGTATATACAGGACAACACAATATAATTATAATAAAACTAGCGGATCAACTCGACACCGAGTTTTTTAAATGAAATTTTTATTTTGCGAGAAAAATTAAGACATCAATACAAACAATATAAGCAAGAATATACATAACATTCATCAATAATAATGCAAGTAAAAAGTGTATTAAATATCACGAAATATTTCGTCAAAAACAATGTTTTTTGTTACAATGTCTCCATTTTATGAAAACTTTTGCTTGGCACCGGGAGATATGTAAACCTTTACTTTTTACTTTTTAATAAAAACGAAACCGGAAGTCGACCTCAAAACCGGAATGCAATTTTTAGTTCATCAAATGTCGACATGGATATCATTTAGCAGTTAATTTTGCATGCTGATTATACGAATCCGGTGTCAGATTTGCTATATGTTGACGTTTTATGCGCGTTTCGGGTCACTTCCGGTATCGGATCGTAACCGGAAGTACATATTTAGATTCGTCTCGACGAGAACTTTCGATCCATATATACATTGTGGGGTCTAAAACTTAAAGTAAATTTTAACTTCCCGTCATCTCAAAACCGGAAGTGAATTTTTGTACCAAAAGTATATTTTGACAATCTCATAGGTAATGGTAATACTAATAATATTCCGAAAAACTATTTTAATTATCTAATATGGTTTTTGAGTAAAGTGGTGGACAAGAAAAGGGCTTAGCGTTTTAGTATATAAGATGAGTTTTCCTGTCTATTGACTAAATCACAGACCACGAGGTAGGTGATTTGTGGACTAAAACATTTATTTTTATTTATCAGTCAGTTGTCAACATAAATTAAATCAAATTCAAAATTTAAACGTCAAATTATTTATAAAAACAGTTCAAAATTTTCAGTTAATCTAAATTCATGGCAGTTGTTAATAATAAATACTTTGAAGAACATTTTGAAGATGAGGATACTAATATAATAATTCCTAAAGGAATCTTGAATTCAAATGAAACTTCAGTTATTCGAATACCCGCTAATTTGCATAAGTCGGGTCCATTGGTAGTAATAAAAGGCAAGAGGCGGGATGGCACAACAGAATATATTGTTAGAAAACACATAGGGAGTCCAGAAGAAGAACTTGAAGAATACCTTATCAGAAATAATTGTAATTATTCAGAATTACAGAAATATTTCACAGAATGTAAACCTCTATCATCTTTGGGAAAATCCACTTCCCGTTGTTTAATCCTCAATAAATCTGTTAATAAACCTCAGTTGCTATCAAGATCACCTGGAGCTCCAAGTAAAAACCGTTGTTCATATCATCTACCGATTTGTAATTCAACTTCCAGAACAATTACATCCAATTTCTTTAAAACTCGACCATTAGAACCTGAAGCAAATTCGATAACTGTTCCAGAATTCTCAAAAATTGCCTATATACCATATAGGATGCAAAGAGGGTCTTTGCCACTTAAAACTTTCAACCTGCGGTTTTTAAATAAACCACATCTTAAAAATGTCATGTCTCAAAATTTTCAGAATAGTATATCTAGACCATTTACTACTTCAAAAGCTATTTTTGGAGAGAATATGGATCCTCTCAGATTAAGTTTTCCGTCTAATATTACAAATCAAGATATTTTCATTGGTCAAAATGAAGCCAGGAAGAGATCTTCTGTTAATATAAGAGTCGACCCTCAACATGACAGCGATGATTGTGAAATTGATGAGCATTCTGATAATTTATTGGCAATTAAAGAAATATTGTATGGTCCATTACAAAACAGACCATCCAGTCGAAGTAGAAGCAGGAGATCTTTATTGACAAAACCAACGGATCAGACTGTTGTTAGGAATATATAAAGATAATTTGGTTAACCAGAAACGATTTGTTAATCACTAACAGTGAAAGTTGTTAGTAATTTATTTTGATGTGGATATAATTTTAATATATACTTTAAAATTAATTTATAGTAGTTATTTAATTTATATTAAAATCGTCATATTAAAATTACTTATAATATACATAAACTCTCTAAAAATGTGTAGGTGCCTTCCTATTTATACAAAAACACTAAAACTGTCAGTACTCTCCTCATATATGATAGAACTCCCTTTGTAACGAGTCCGTCACTTCAATAATCCTTTAAACATTTTTTAAATAAATTTTTTAAATTCAAATCCTCTTAATGATTTTCTTTTTGATGATTATGATTAATGATTTTGAATTTCTAAGTTGGTATTAAACAGCGACCCCAACGGCCGTTTTAGGCAGACTATTCTTATCCGACTAACGAGTAAGAATTAGTGGGCATTCTGGTCCCAACTCTGAACAGAGGAAGTTCGCTGAACTAAAAAATGTAGGCGACAAAGAGCTGGGCTAAATTTGTTTTAAGAAAAGTATTTTGTTTTTGGAAGAAGATGAGAACATTTTAGTTCTTTTTAGTGTATAGTATTTGAGTTCTAGCCACTCTAACCGCTTACTTCCGAAGTTCAGTCCAGAATCAAGAATTCATCATTTTATTTTTGTTGGGAATTATATTAGAAAAGAAATTGAGTTGTTCCCTATTGGGTTTACACCTTTGCCGTCACCTTGAGCTGTTCCATCAGTAGTCCAGACCTCATATAAGCCTTCCCGGATAACTTCAGGGAACTAGTTGGAAAGACCGCCTTAGAGTGTGGAACACAGCTAATTTTATCAAGTTTTGTTTTTCAATTTTAATAATTTGTATATACTATTTTTTGTTTAACTTTAAATACTCATACTTTGACTAATAATAAAGACCCGTAATTTTTTTTAAATAATTTTAAATAACGTTTAAGGACTAATTATCAATTACAGGTTGAGTTTTTAAATACTCCCTTTTAACTCAGTTGTACAGTTTTATGTGTACACATTTAATCAGAGAGTTGTTTATTGATATTTTATTATTATTGTATATTTAAGCCTTTGGACATCTATCCCGTCAGGATAGTATCCTCATTACTTTATTATAACATTTATTTGAAAGCCGAAGTACAGGGTTACATCCCTAGTAGGCAAGTAAATTACCTTTTTAGGTCTACTAATTAAAATTTATCTTATATTTTATTATTTATAAATTCAGATTATCAGGGATCAATTGTGTATAATTAGGGACCTTTTCATGTATATAAATAACTAGATTAACTGTACATAATTTGTGGTGGGTAGCTATAAAAAATTATATTATATATATTCGGTTAGGGATTAAAATTTGTGGTGAAAACTAAATATTTTAATTAATACCTGTTTCCTTTCTTATTTCAGCAAACACCTTTACAAGCTACCTTGGAAGGTATATGTTAATACTTTCCTGGCGCCCAATCGTATCTTAGAGCAACCATAATTTACCACTTGCATTCACATTATTTCTAATTTTTTTAGTATCTTATCATTCATATTCTCACTTTATGGTGTCTGTAGGTCATGCAAATTGGCTGAATCCTCTTTTGAGCGTCAAGTAGTCACTCTCCGGCACCTTCTGCTAGCCGGCTTTAATTAATTTGTGTTTGTTACATTACTCCCCACACTTTTACTTCATTGACATCCTAAACCGATCAGTGCACACATTTTTTGTTACACCTTTCGATATGACAAAATTGAAATGTGTAAATTTCTTCTTTGAAATGTCGTTAATGTTACATTGGTCAAACCCAACGCATTTTGGTGTCTCCCTCTCTTCTCTAAAATATAGCAGATTTTTCTCTCCTAAGCATGAGAAGAGGTTCCCGTTGTATGGGTCCAATCTTTAGCATTACTCAACCATAATTTTTCTTCATACTATACTCATTTTAGTTTGTTTGTTTAAGTTGTTGAAACTCCTTTTGGCACATTAGATATTTTTTTAATTGTGTATAAAATTAGAGTGATTGGCAATATGAATGCAAAAAAATCTCAGGAAGAAATACTGCAAGCCAAACTGCTGCAGACTATCAGAGATTTGTTTGACGTTATTATTTTGCCTTGGCCTTTAAATAGTCCCGATCTAGATCCATTAGAAAATCTATGGTCAAAGCTGAAAGTGTTAGTATTATGCCGAAACCAGAAACTTGGATGTCATTCTGAAATCTAAGGAACCTTTTGCGTCAACTATTTCCTTGCTTCCTCATACAACGCACAAAATGCAACCGCGATAAGAAAGTAATGGGAGCTCTTAAAACTTATTACAGTAAAGAAACTAGAGTTTTTATGAAAACAAATAATAGGGCGATAACTCATTTCAACGTATGTGAATTATTCGAGAATGTCTATTTAAAAATTCATACACGAGAGATAGAGAGAGAAAGAGAGAGATAGAGAGAGAGAGCAGTGAAAGGCTTCAGTGCTACTGGAATTTAACCAGTTACACGTGATATATTTTCGGAACAAGACTTCTTAGTAGAAAGTTAGCTGCGAAATGAAGTAAGAATAGAATCATTCAAGGATCTAAATATTATTGTCCTTTCCTCAGATATTATTACATTACCACAACATAAAATGGAGGAAGGAACACGTGGCAAAAAATATGGTAAGTCGGTAATACTCAAATATAGGCCAAGTAAGGACGAGTTAGAGCAAAGTATTTCAGTTGCTTTGAAGCAGAAAGAAATGGTTCTAAGAAGAATTAATGATGACACACCAGGCCTTAGTGGCACCAAGGCGATGCCTAAGAAGATATGCCAACGACGCAAGCCAACAAAGTAGTAGGAAAAAAATCCAAAATGAACTATCAATATTCTTCGGACGACGATATTCCCGTAGCCTATTTGACTTTTAGAGACCCTAACTCAAATGTAATTTGTATATTCTGTAACGAATTATTTTCTAAAAGTAAAAGTCGAGAAATATGGATTCAATGTGTCATGTGCGAATGCTGGGCACATGAAACTGTATAGGGAATGAGCACGAAATGTACATATGCGACTTTTGTAAATAGTAGTCTATAACGTTTTCGCCTGTGGTGACAAATGGGTGGATCGAGTAGCTTAGGAGTTACCACTGCCGGTCCTAAGCCCGGGCAAAGGAGGAAGGTTGGACAGTGGGCTGACATCACACTCCCGGAAAAAAACACACTGTTACGAAACCTGAACATTTGCCTCGGAATACAGGACGGACTTTCAGAAATGACTCAAGCTACAAAACATGGACTATATATTTGGAAACTGTAATGTGAAGTTGGGTTATGTTATTGTTTGTCCCAACTGTCACATGAAATCTTTTTTATATTGAAGGTTTTTAACAATTGTGTCACATTTTAGACTATTATCGTTAATAATTATTTAAAACTTTCTCGTCTAAGACACATTCTGACATATTCTAAGAGGCCATTTTTATGAATTTTGGCCTCCTTTTCATAACGATTAGATTCCCTCTTTTGTCTTTTTGCTCGATGGATGCAGCTCAACTGAACTCACAATCTTTTGATGTCGCTATACTCCACATTTAGTCTATTCTCTGCAATTTAGGTTTAGAACCAAACTAAAAATTATAATTGTCAATCGCTGTCAGTATCAGTAATAATAATTGATTAGCGTCTATATAATCAGATTTCAGATGGTTACTATTCGTCTAAATTGTTTGATTTGATGGTTATTATTGCAAGGAAATCAAACTAAACTTGGTTTAATATCTCTGGGTTATTGTTAGCATTAACCTGTGGCTTAGTGTTATAAAAAATCCTAGTTTAGATATGATGAATTCCACAATTCCACTACAGTTTTTAAAACAAAACGAATATGAAGATTAGTTTGCTTCTACATGGAGTCATAACTTGTACCAAAATGCAATTTCCGAGAACAAATTCCTGATTGATTTTGGATTCTTCTGCTAATCTACATCCCAGAAGTATTTCACAGTAAGTAACCCTAATATGACATTACATTGTAATTAATAAAAATTATTTTACTTGAAGTGAATTATGGTATAAATTATTATATTAACTTTTTGTTTTAGTTGAAAATTCTGCACAATCTACACACATGCTTCAATCATTTGAGATACCCTATTGTAGTATATAAAATTGTACAATTTTCAGTGGTAATAAAGCATATTTCTATTGTATTTTAAATTAATATACAAAGTTGTTTGACATGTATTAAATAAATAAATAAATTATATTTTGTTTTATTTTTTCGTAAATGGTATTGTGTATATTTGGATTTAAAAATAATTTGCACCTTTTAGAATTTAAAATGCAATTTTTTTTTCAAATATACCAAATTATATTTAAATATTTTAAGCTTTATTTAAATTTTCCCACCAAAATTAAATTTTGAAATTCCCGCGTAATTTCCCGCTTAAATTAGTTCCGATACAAATCTCTTGGAGCGCTGAATTTCATATCTTAATAAAGTATTGTCGTGAAGCATCTAGAGATGGTAGAGGTAAGTCACAAGTTAGAATAGCAGTGATGATCTTGCCAACCTTCGTCGCGGAAATGGCACGTAAAGAAGAAGAAGAAAATTTAGGCCGCTAGTGCAGAGGTTATTAAGTTGTTTTTCAAATGAAAATTTAGCTAAAAAATTATCTCATATCTAGGATGAATCTCAATTAACTTATAATTCATCAAAAAAATTTCTTTAATCTCGAATGCTGAAATTTGTCAAAAAATGTTGATACTTTTCGTAGCAATTAAAACAGTTAAAATAATTGACATAAAAGATATGACTATCCAATTTTTGATAAAACAGAAGATACGGTCTGTATTAGGTTAAGATGTATGCTTCAAACTGACATTTGAATATCATTTTAATGGGTTTGTAAAACCATAAAATTTTTTGTAATTGAAAGCAAGTAATGTCCAATCAGTATAAATACCATATTGGTCCAAACGGTGTCATCTGCTCTGATAAAGTCACAGTATTTAGAATTCCCAATACAGTACCTGTGGACAATAGTCCACTTATAGTTTATAGCAGTAGCAAGAATTTACCCTTAGATTTCAAAAGCTCACAAATACAAGGATTTAATAGTTTTGAAGAAGAAGAAGTTATTCCTGAACAAACTAATAAGTCTTTAAATCAGAACGTAGAGAATTATACGTATGGGGATGATTCAAATTATATAAATGTTTCCACAGATGATAAATATTATTACAATAATGAACAGATAGCGAATCACATAATAGCAAGAAATTCTTTTTACACAGATTATAATAATGACTCTAACGTAAGTATTTCTGAAAATGCTGGAGTTGCCGATTACTCTGATGACAAACATAAATTCAGGCACAAGGAAATGCATGTTCCTCTAAATATCAGAAATAATATACCCCGTAACTATAAGAATTATAATGAAGACGACGTATATAATTCTAATGAATATTTTCAAGAAGATTCGTATAAGTTTGTACCATATTCGAGTAAGCGTGCCGAAGAATTTTACAATTCAGGTACTAGTGGTAACACAAGTTTAAGGTATACTCCACGTTTATCACAAAAGAATCAATATAATGACAAAGCTATCGAACAGAAAGAGTTTAATAAAAATGTTTTATATAAGCGATATAGTTTGAATTATGCTAGTGATCCGAATCAAATATCAACGAATTTATCATGTCCCAAAAAAGGTACGTATCCTTTATATGATAAGGAAGGTCATGGTAATGAATTTAATTACACCACAGCAAATCAAATCAGTAGTAAATCTGCTTTACATAGTCGACATGACTGTTTTAATACACCAAGTAAAGAATTTAATAATAATATTAACAACGAGCTTAGAGAACAAGGATATGATCCTTTATATTCATTGCAAGCAATGGCAAATAAAAACTTAAACAATTCGTTAGTGAGTAGCAAAGCAGGTGTCTTGTATGATCCAAAATATTCATACAAGCCCATAAAAGATGGATCTAATTTTGAAACTAGTAACAATGTAGATACTAAACAAAGTGATCACATAAATGTAAATAAAACTAGAAGCTGGTACTATAAACAAAACAAAAATGACTCGCCATTATATGGAACTGATCGTCATTATAAATTAGATATTAGTGGATCTAATATCGGAACCAATATTTTTAAAACCGTTATAGATAATTTAACAAGTAATACATCGTCTAATAAAACATCTTTAAATCTTTTAAATACCAAACCTCAATATCCCCAGCTTAGGTCAAAATCTATAAATATAACTAATAATACAAGATATAATTCATTGCTTAGTGACAACGACCCATATCCTTTAAATAGTGCCCAGAATCGATTTGATGACTGCTTTAATATGGAATCTGCAAACAGTAGACCAGTTAATCAAAAAAAATCTGACCTTAATAATGTTACTTGTAAAAAAACTAAAAGTGTAACGTTTAAATTATAACCGTAAGAAAGTACAAAATCATAAATATGTGTAAATGTATGTTGTAATGCAAAAGTGAAATAAAATAAAAAAATACAAATAAAACGAGTTTTATTGAGTTTTAAAGGGTGTTTTTTTTAGAGGTATATAACTTAGAAATGGCATAAACCAAATATAACTTTTATAAATTCACATGAAATTGACTTTATTTGAAAGGTAATCTTTTAGCATTATAATTTAAATATGATTTCAGGCATATCCAATTTTCGATCTCTTTTTCCAATATTTGTTGCCGTATATAGACAATAATGCGGCGCATGTTGTCCTCCAAGTGATCAATCGTTTCATGCATATCGGCGTAGACTAGCACCTTTCCATATTCCCATATAAAATAGTTTAGTAGTGTTAAATGTGTTGAAGGCTAATTCACGGTCCGAGACATGAAACTATGTGGTTACTAAACGTTTTCTTCAATAAATCAATTATAGCACAAGCTGAGTGACATGTTGCGCCGTCTTATTGAAACGACAGATCCTGCACATCATTGTTTTTCAATGGTGGAATAAAAAAGGCAGTAATCATGGCGCTATAGCAGTCACCATTGACTGTAACGTTCTGGCCAGTATGGATTTTGAAGAAGTACGGTCCAATGATTCCACCAGACTATAAAGCATACCAAACAGTCAGTTTTTCTGGATGTAATGGTTTCTCAACATACATTTAAGGATTATCCTAACCTCAAATAGAGCAGTTTAGTTTATTCGTGACGTTTATTGATTCGTGATATTTATGACGTAACCATTCAATCAAAAGTGAGCTTCATCGCTAAACAAAATTCGCTTATGAAAATCGGAATCAACAGCAATCTCGTTTTGGATCCACTCACCGAATCTACAAATCTACGCCTTGCTAGGTAATTATCTACCTTCAATTCTTGCATGTGTTGGATTTTGTAAGCACGTAAAGCAAGATCTTTCCGCCTAATCTTAAATAAAGTGGATGGACACGTATCCAACAGGAGTGCATGATGGCAGATAGACTGATTTGGGTCTTCCTGTATGCTATGCTCTACAGCAGCAACAACTTGATCTGCACGCACTGTACGACGTGTCTGTAAATACATAATATCATTTAGAGTAAATGTGCTGCAGAAACGTTCAATGGACGTCTGATGTCTATTATATTGACCATAAAATGAACGTAGTAGGTGATACGTATTTCACACACATACAAAACAGAACCAAAATTCTCAAAATAAATTTGTACAATTTTAAAACTTTTTTTAGTCTATTCATGCTAAAATGCCAAACCAAACTTAACATAAATCACTTGTCAGCTGTCAAAATGGACAACAGTTAAAAAAGTGTTACCAACTTACATTTCTATACCTTTAAAAACACACCCTTTACTATAATTAGGAACTTTTTTCTAGATTTTGCTGCAGTGTATGAACAATGTATAGTCCAGTCGTCAGAGGGTCGACCCCTAAAAATCATAGGAACCAGCTTAATTTCGCCGGCAATATTAATATTGCGACCCCAAAAAGATGCAAAAAAGTTTACCACTTTTATCTACAGGATTCCCCCTAAAATCCCCTCGCAGAGGGCTAAAAACGCAAACAATTGATTTGCCAAGAATCTGTACTCCGTAGAAAAAAATGTTTCAAATAAAAAATATAGCTAAGGTTATTTTATATACGAATTTTTTAAGCACTTTTGTGTAGAATGAAACCTTCTCTTAGTGTACTGAACTATTTTATTAATTCTAATTTATTATTCTTATTTTAATTCTAAAGGTTCAATATTTATAACACTCACGAATTTATCAAAGTTTTTATTACTACTAATTTATTTTACAAATAATTTATTTACGTGCGATACAATTCTAACGCGAGACCGAACTTCTTTTCTTGACTAACCCTCCTCCACCGTTATTTATATGAAATGCCGCTATCTAGAACGGTCTGGAGATGCATCGATGACGTACCATCCATTAGGTGACTCATTCAACCAGTCTAGAAAAGTCGTTCGCCTTCTGGTAAATTTGGAGGGTCACCGCCGACGGCATTATTGGTACCTGAAGTGGATATTCTACCTTTCTGGAGAAGGGTCTAGTAATTTCTGCCGGCAGGTAACAGGTATGAGCGCCGAAATCACAATAGGGACAAGGTGAATAAATTATGGTTTGAGGAGTTACAAGTGATTATTATTGTGTATTTTGTATACGCATTATAACAGTTGCACCATTGAGTGACGATATTGGATAGACACCCCACTTTTTATATTTTCCATTGAAATCTAACTAGTTCTAAGTAAGTTTCTAACCCTGAAGTGTGATCGTGCGCGAACGAAACTCGCTATATTTTTTGGTAGATTTTTGAAAATATTCGATATACTATTTTGATATTTAAATTTACCTTAAAGTTATTGTAAGCCGTTCTTTAATAACGCCTAATGGTTTCCTCCAGTTTGTGTGCATTTCTCTACGTAAGGAGTTATACCTCTTTGAATGTTTCTAACATTAATTTAACTAATTAGTTTAGCAAATAAATGATGAAACTCTTCCAATGTAGCCCTTTCTTTATTAATTTTATGAACCCATATACGTTTTCTATTTAAACACTTTTTGAAAATATTGTACTTTAACAATGATTTTCCGCTAATATATATTTTAGTATTCTTTCCATCGTTACGTCCGATACAGAAAAGACTACGGTGGCGATTAGCTCACAAGCATATCATTGTATGGAAACACCCACAGGTAATAGCTCGCTATGTAACGCATAGCATAGCAAAACATCGCATCGCTGATCGCGTTATAGCAGTCTGTGTGATCATACACTTAGAAACAACGTTTTAAGGTCGATTCAGACACATTAGTCCCGTCACAGTCTCGGCGCCGAACCGGTCCTGTTTGGCCACAGAACTATTAATTATCTGACAGATGGGAAACTGTTCGTCAACTGATGAATGTGAATGCCGGCGCCATATTTCTATTAAAGTGTGATGTCCTCTCGTAGGAGTCACTATCCGGGTAGCTTTTATACAGTCAGAGACAGAGTTCAAAACAAAAATAAATCTTTATTGTCTTCCTTAAATTAAATTGACAAAAATCTTATGTACATATTTACAATTTGGTTTAGTCTTCTCAGTACCTGGCCTATTTATTCAAATTAAGTTTGACCATGTCACATGAAATTAGTTTTATCGGCAAGCGAATGTGTATTTGAAATTTTACGGGAACGTTGTATCGATTTAATAACAGCGGACGATAGGTACAAAGAAAGGAAAGGAACTCAACACGTCCCTTAAGTGATTCGGGTTAACAGGACACTCCTCGACAGTCTCAACACGACTGCTTCAGAGTATGGGTAGTGAAGAGATCAACACGCTCTTCGGGTAACGGCGGTATGGGACGGAACAACTTGTGAACTCAACACGTCCACAAGCCGGGGCAGGGAAGAAGAGAACCTTCAGTCAACACCTGTCGATTCTCCCTCTATGAGGAAATGTTGCGGTTTATATAGCGGAGCTTGTTAATTAGTTTTGCCCTTTCTACTGTAGATATACTCCTACTTCATGGGTTGGTTCGCGCGCAGGCTGGTTTAACGGTGATGGCTTGGACTCATCGTTACAAAAGAATATTTTGTATGACGGATTGTTCGGTTCGGCGCCAGGACTGTGACGAGACGTGACTGATGTGTCTGAATCGACCTTAAAGCGACCGTCGTTTTGAATGTCAGTGTATCAATATTATTGATTACAATATTAATTGTAATTCTTATTTTAATATTACAATAAAATTTGTATCAGCTCGACGGTAAAAATTCGATATCTTTTGATACAAGTGTCCCATCACAAAATTAAGATGTGTTTTAAAGATAAAGAGTGCAGCTTTCGTATGCACTTTTTGTATTTTGCCGAGAATAAACTCAGTTTTTATAAATAAAAAACCTGGTGCGATTTTTGCCATTTTATACAATACAATAATTTTCCCTACTGTTACTTGATGTCTATGTTGCTTATTTTTTTTTAAATTTTTCCATATTATGTCTGTAAGTAATAGAAAGGAATTATTAACATGGTTTATACAATCAAAATTTTTAATATTATTACTCACTTCAATTTTCACTTGTATTTGGAGGGGTACTCCTCTCAAAGTGCTCGTTTGAAGGCACAATACTTGTATCAGTGCGGTTTTTCTACTACATATTAATATTCCACAGTAATAATATGGTTAAAAAATAAAATTGCCTGTCCTTGAAGCATGGGTCTTTAAAAAATTTCTATTAAATTTACAATGTCAACAAACGATATCCCTATTTCATTACCCATCTTTCAAAACAAGTGCTGCCACCTATAGTCCTTTGAGTACGCGAATAGGTGCCAACTAATTTATTTTGATGTGTGTATTTAATAATTTTTAATTGATTTAGTTGTTGTGTGATTATACAAATCACACAACCAATGTCGAAGTATTAAATCGAATGAGCAGAGAACGAGAATTGCTGCCAATAATAAAAAGAAGAAAAACTGCTTATCTGCGTCATATATTTCGAAATTCCAAGTACCAGTTCTTGAAGCTTATTATGGAAGGAAAGATAGAAGGAAAACGAGGCATCAGAAAAAAAAATACTCATGGCTTAAAAGCATAAGGGATTGGACAAATCTCGATGCCCATGCACTTTTTAGAGCCACACAAGATGGATAGGGCACCATAAGAAGAAGAATTGATTTAGGCAGCCACTATGTGAGAACGTTCCATATTTCGCACATTAAAGATAAATACCCAGTCGTAAATACGACTTTTCTTCTGAGACACCATATTGCAGGCTCCTATAGCATCAGATCGTAGTAATAAGAATATTTTTAAGGGTTTCCTTAAAAAATGACGAAGATAAAATTTAATTTTTAAAATTACTTTGTTTCAAACGTAATCAAAATAAAATTATTGATTTCATTTTCCGAAGCTTTTATTTTTTAGGAAAAAACCTGATCTCCGAAACTTGAAATAAAAGAGTTCCAATTCAATAATTGTGGTTAATGTCAATTATATATTAATTTTGAAAGAAATATAAAAAAGAAGAAT